CTATCTAAAAATACCACCCACTCCGAATGGTGGTAAAGAAATATATGAAAATGTATGGAAATGTTGTAACTTTAAGTCTCAATAACTTTTGAATCTTTTGTTGTATTAAAAAATTTATTTAACATTTCGAGTCCCTATCACGTCCCTTATCCAGCAATACCACCCACTCCGCTAGGGGCCAAGTCCCCAATTCTGAATTTGTGCCGTTATTTCTATATTCAATACACTCAGACTAAGTAGTAATGAAATAAAACATCGCTAACAGATCTTATTTTATAATACAAGCATTATAAAATCATTTTTTGTTCTTTATTATAAAAGAAAAAAGTTTTTATAATGCTTTCTCTCTTGCAAGATAAAGAGAACTAATAAAAAGTAAGCTATCTGTATGGCAATAATTAGAACAGTAGATAGCTTAAATGGCAAACCATGCTATTTTTGACTTTGACATTTTTTGTTTTTTTTTTTTGACATGATCAACTCGACGTGTGGGCATCATCAAAAAGTATAAAATGAGCCCAAACTAGAAAGTTCTACCAGTAACCATTAAAGAGTTCCACTACCCTCTCCTGGGTACATCATCAGATCTATTATATCTAATTATTATACTTTCATAAGGATATTCTATACAAATTTTCAAATAAAATTAATAACTTACAATCCACTTCCAAGATTTGACAGTAAACGTGACAATTTAGGAACAGGATATTGCTGATAATTTTTATTAATTTAAGTACTATATTTTCTCACTAGCATTGCCTGCGGCTCCACCCACGTTCAGATGACTAAAAACCAAATTCTTAGGTTTTTCAGATTAGTATACTCTTATATTGCAGATTTTGCATTTTTTCTCAGAAATGAGATATTTTACCGTGGTAAAAAGTATCCTATATGTTGACCCGGATAGCCAGCTATCACCAAACCAAATTTCATCAAAATCCCTCCAGTGGTTTTTCTATGGTGCGGTAACAGACAGACAGGCAAAAATTCTAAAAACTATAGATTCGGCCTCTGTATCGATGATAATGTCTATTTCAATAAGATTTTCCAAAAATGTCTAATTCGTCATAATGTCCTTCTGACTGATTTCGGCCACAACGGTCAATCTTACTATACGCTTACGTTTGAACTATAATATACTTTAAATTTTGAATTACATGGCAAACCTGTGACAAAAGGGAGTACTTAAATTACGTAAATACGCCTCCCTAAGTCAAAATTATGTTTTTATTCCATTTGCTGTAGAAACCCTTGGCCCATGGAGTCAAAGTGCTTAAGCACTTCTTAAAAAACATAAAACCTCGTCTTACCGCCTCTACTGGTGACAGGAGAGCTGGCGCCTAAAAAATCGGTATTGCCATTCAGCATGCGGCTAGCATTCTTGCCACTATTCCACGCGGACATGACTTGTACAGTAATAACTAAGTGTACATTTGTTTCGTATATATCATTAAGTATATTTGTAAAAATCTTTTATTGTAAATAAAGATACTACAGCTCTGAAAAAAAACAATAGGGTGAAGCAAAAAATGCTCAAACAAGTCACAGAACCGATTTGGATAAAAAACGAAACTGTAATTTGAGATGTTTCCCCAGCTCATTATTTTAAAAAAAAACACTTTAATTTATTCGATAATATCTATACATATAATAAAATTCTAACTGAGTCGAATCTGTACATTAAATATTTTTTAGAAAATCTTATTGAAATAGTCATTATAATCGATACGGAGGCCGAATCTATAGTAATTAGATTTTTTGTCTGTCTGTCTGTCTGTCTGTTACCGCATCACGAGAAAACAACTGGACAGATTTTGATGAAATTTGGTATGATAATAGCTGGTTATCCGGGTCAACATATAGGATACTTTTTACTGCGGAAAAATATCTCATTTCTGAGAAAAAATCTATGTAAAGAGTATACTAATATGTAAAGCCTAAGAATTTGTTTTTTGGTCATCTGAACGCGGGCGACGCCGCGGGCAATGCTAGTTGTTTATAAGAATAAATTTAGTCAGGTTTCTAAATTAAACAAAATTTAAATGATTATTACAAAAAGAAGGGATCAAGTGCGGGTTGACGGACTTCACGTCTTTTGAAAACTTGGTAGGTTCTCTCAAACATACCAATAGGTTTCCACACGATGTTTTCCTTCACAGTAAGACAAGTAGTAATCATGCTGGAAATGATTCGCATATGAAAATATCACAAGTGGGAAATCCGGTATTTAAACTCACTTTAGGTTTTCGAAGCGAGCGCGTTACCACTAGGCTACCACTGCCTTACAATTTGCATACCCTTAATTTTGCATAACTTACCTAAAAATGTCACCAAAGTCCTTACAATATTTTTTAATTTTAAACTTTTTTATAGTAGTTTATTAAGTATAGAAAAGATAATTTTATTTAAAATGTCAAATATTCGCGTAAATCTAAGGAAGTATTATTTCTTTCATCATTTTTCATTTTAAATAACTGTTTAGAATATATAATGATTTAAAGTTGGTTAACGACCATTCTCGCTAATTTTCGTGCTTAAAAAGCTGTAAATAAATAAATATATTATAAAATAAAAACCCGACTGCATAAAAGTTAACTAAAAAGATGGAAACAAGTTCACAAAGGAATATAGTACTGTGCAGTCGGAGACATACTTACGAGTATGTACATCTCGCGGCAAGGAATAACGTATGTCTCCTACTGCATAAATTAATACTATATTCCATCGTGAACTTGTTTTCATCTTTTTAGTTAGCATTTAAGCAGTCGGGTTTTTAATTTTTATAATATATTTATTTATTTGGTCATATTTCTTTATTTATATGGATTTTCATTAAACAACATTTAAAGTTATTATTCCTCATTTAACAGTGTAGTGTTTCAAAATTGTCATAATTAATTTAAATAGCTTCAAGCATGTGACACGTATCTTCTTATATATATAAATAAAAATAAATGTTGGTAAGCGCATAACTCAAGAATGGCTGGACCAATTCGGCAAAATTTTATTTCGTATGTTCCATAACGTCCACGGAAGGTTTTAATAAAGAGAAAAAATAAAAATTTACAAAAAAAATGTATATGGCTAACGCTGGCTAATAACTATTTATATCTATTTAAAACGTACCGTACGTAAAAAATAAAATCGAATATAAATATATCGCGCAGAAAATGCGTGCAGTTAATGTACCTATTAAGTTATTATTATAAATCATAATTAAACTTAATAAGTGTCAATTTTAATATCATGTATGTGTTTTAACTAAATATATAATTTAAAAAAATACCATATTACATAATAGGTATTATTAATTTATAGGCGACGAGAGTGTGTATCCTATGAATATTATAAATGTAAATATTTTTTAATCTATTAAATTTATTTTATCTATCTTTTTTGTGCTTCCCAGGGTCTCAAACTATCTTCTTAAATCAAAAACTATTGAACCGATTTATTCGAGTTTATTCGTTACGAACATACAAAAATTTGAGACGTCAAAAACCTTTGCTGTAAAGCATTCGAACCGTCGGGAACCAAAATAGAAAATGAAACCGCGACAAAATCTGAAAAGATATTTTGATCAATATTAAATATTCGAGTAAATCTAAGAAAGTATTACTATAAGATTATTTAGAGTGTCACTTATATATTATTTAGCTTACTCTTCACCGCACCGAATGGCTCAGAATTCATTGCATGTAGAACCCCTAAAATTAAATTTACATTATTGTTTTTACAGACGGTTTATTTATATATTTTAAAGTTATACTTCTTTTGGGACGTTTGGAAAAAAATATGATAGTAAAATTTTTAGGATGGGCGTGCACACCGACAGCAAAAAAGCGACATGAAGTTAGATGCATTCCTTTTACAAACAGAGAGTTGTGACATACGGGATTAAATATTTAGCTATTTTAGTTATGTTACGCCAAAGAAGTATAACTTCTTACGTGCGTACATAAGTATACACACACGTTTTTTTTTCGTTTTAAGCAAAACTATCTTTTTCTCACTTTTTTGCGAAAAAAAAACCAAAAAGGTAGTTTTATTTAAAATGTCAAATATTCGCGTAAATCTAAAAAAGTATTATGCTTTTTTCGTAAGCCTCTCTGTTTGGTTCAAAAAGACAAAAGCCTTTCTTTGAATTCTGAAATAAAAAAGCAAAACCGAAAACATGCCATATGTGACACTTTTCAACGTTCCAGGGAGGGCTCAAAATGGTGCATTCATATTTTTAATGAGACTTCAATTTTATATACCATATATTAAAAATATATAAATCTTAACATTGGTTTCGTACATACTCTAAATAGCCTTAGCGTAAACGCCTACAATAATTTTATAGCAATTTTGTATCTACGTAACTTGAAATCATAAAAATTATTATAATTGAACTGTAAATATAATTTTTAATGTATGCGAATAGTCAAAACGAATTGAACGAGGAAACGAAAAGGAAGCGAATCAAAGGAATAACTGGTAGCCATTGAAGAGTTCCAGTACCCATCTTCTGGCTACATCATTAGATTAGCTAATTTCCAATATTTTATTTATTACGAGTATAACCGGATTACACATAAAGAAAATCAAACCGACACGATAATTTCTAACTGGTTAGTTATATTGATCGAGTACCTATGTAGTTCTGGGATTCGACACGAACCCTTACATAGCTTAGAATGAAAAGTACTCAAATATTAATGAAATGGAACTATCAATGCGTATTACTTTTAATACTTTTTATGCTATTTTATTTAAGCTAAATTACTTTTATCTAAATTATACTTGCTTAAAAACTTAGAATTCGTAGCAAGACTTAAATGTAATTATGTCATGTTTTGACATTTGTCTTTTGATTTAACACAAAAATGACGTTTAAACAAAAATGTCAATAGATTATAGAACATCTATAAATATTCTATATTCATCTGTAAATAGCATATTTTGCGTATGTTTTATCTTTTAATATAATTTTCGTAATTCGTATTAATCAATTAAATATGTCCGGAATATGGAGTTTAACGACATTGTGTAGATGTTGTCACGCCGATGGTACTTTCAAATCGTTAGATTCGCCTCACAATGTAGATAATTCAGTTGAAATTTATACAGAAATGTTAAAAAATACATTGGGCTTATTCGTGAGTAATTTGCACTAATACACTATGGAAAAATCAAATATTAACTGTTCTTTTTTTATTATTTACTTAATTTTTTTTAAAGGTGAACCATTTGTTCCTTTAATTTTTTTAATTATTCACTCAGCACAAATGAAAACTTAAAAATTAAAATAAAATGATATTATAGAACATGAATAATATCTATTTGCCTAAATATCAAGAAATTATATACTCAAAGCTTAATAGACATTTATAATATTACAGTTACAGTCGCCTGAATTAGAAGTAAGCTACACAATATGTGATGTATGTATTACACAGCTAAGAGATGCATACAAATTTAAAAACCAAGTGCTACAATGTGAAGAAAAATTCAGAGAATATTGTAATAGTAAGTATTAACATAAATATCACTTAAATTAATATTTAAACTTTTTTATAATATGTTTTTTGTCCAAAATACCAATTAATAGATGGAGTTTGTATTACAAAATACATACTTTTATTACATAATATTTTTGTAATGGCTATGGCATGATTTCACTCATATTGAAGAGAAACCCATACCCAGTAGTGGAACATTAAAAAGGACTGAATACATTTTTAGTCAACGCTTAAAAGAATTTGAACATTCAAACATTAATAAAATATTTATACTATTGTATATAATTTCCATAATGACAGTGATTTTTGCAGATGAATTGTTACAACATATGGAAGTGAAAATGGAAAAAGAATCAGGTAGCTTTATTTCTATTTAATAAATATTTAGCAGTTTGAAGGGTTCAAGTTTATACTCCGGCTGTATCAAATAAAAAAAAATGTAAACAAAGATTTGATTTTTATAAATCAAATGTCTGTTTACATTTTTTTAACAATATTATATGATAAACCGATTCATTCGATAATTTATTTTTATACGTAAAGTACATTACAAGTTCCGCCATTATCTGTCTAAATTGACAAAGACAATACTCTGCTTATAAAGTTTCTTTGTTTGATTGGACTGGGGTATATATTACTTTACAAATTTTATACTATCTAATAAAAAATATTTTAGATTTTCACTTAAATATCTATAGCTAGCAAAGAAAAAATATATTTAAATTAAGTATAATTGCATATTCTAAAAGCACTACACAATCAGCGATAAAAAATGTCCTCACTGAATGAGCGCTCATTTGAACAACGTGTTTTTAATTTAATTTTTTTTTTATACAAACAACTTTAAGCATTGCATTTAAGGTTCAATTTACATTGTTGTATATTTATTTCAACTAGAACAATTACCTAAACACAATTGGTGAGAGTTTTATGGGAGTATGTATCTAGTACGTTTTTGATCGATGCTCAGAAATTAAAATAGTTACAATACTACTTATATTGTCGTCTCAGTTGTCGAAATAAGTTTTATTATTTCTTTCAGATGCTGAAATTATTATAAAACCAGAGGTTAAGATAAAGGCTGAAGGTATTTTTTTTATTGACTATTAAATAAACTCATTTCTGCTCGTGTTCTGTGACTTTAAAACCGCCTAAAGTCATTTCCAACCATAGACATAGAGTAGACTGAGTGTTTCTTTGCCAGCCGTCAGCTATAAATGGCGGAAAGGCGAATGAGACAGAACGAATGTGCTGCCACCAGTCTTCTGTATTCATTGAAATACTATTAATGAATATAGATTAGGGTGGCCCAAAAAAACAAATATATTTTTTTTCGACTCTTTTACGAAAATATGTTAATTTATCATGTTTTAAGGCCCCCCTCCAAAGCGCAGTTCAAATTTTAACAGGTCGCTCAAAATTTTTTAAAAATTCCATAATCGTTGAATTGATTTTTTTTCCTTTTAATTTTTTTTTTCTCGTTATTTCACTTACCTTAAAAAAAACGTAAAAAAATATTGAGCCACCTTTAAATATTAAAATATCGACTTGAAATTTTCCAAATCCTAATCATTTTTATAGAACATAGTAAAATAACGAGAAACAGTAAATAAAAAAGAAAGAAACTCCTTGCTCCTGTCAATTTAAGTGACATTAAGTTGTTTTTTTTTGTACATTTTTAAATAAAACCTTTTTACCGGATTTCTTGTTATATAAAACTAAAAATGTTCAATTTTTTTTTAATAAAATGATTGATCATGGGCACGAGAAGGACTAAGGTTTTTTGTGTATTAATAATAATAATTTATGTTAAAATGTCAAATATTCGCGTAAATCTAATCTATACATATAATAAAATTTTGTTCTACGTGACATTGGCGAAGGAAATTGTGCCCAAATGGCACTTCTAGAAGAATAAAAATTTAGACACGAAATAAAGAATTGAATTAATAAAATTCTGAGTCGAATCTGTACATTAAGTATTTTTCGGAAAATCTTATTGAAATAGTCATTATTATCAATATGGATGCCGAATTTATAGTTTTTAGAATTTTTCTATGTTTGTCAGTGTATTTATAGGAACGCATCACGACAAAATCAATGGACAGATTTTAATGAAATTTGGTATGGATGATAGCTGGTTATCCGGGTCAACATATAGGATACTTTTTACTGCTGAAAAATATCTCATCTCTGAGAAATCTATACTAACCGTTAATACATAAGTAGGGACGAACCCGAGCGGAGCGATTGTGAGTCGCTAGTAAATTATAATATTGTAATAATTGTAATGATACTTAATAATTACCAATTTTTTTTTCAGATGTAAATAATGACAACGACGTAAAGAAAGAAAGTATCGACACAGAAACTCTAGATATAACTTATGAACCAGAAAATCAAAGTGATGATGAAGTTGATGCAACAGATGAGATACCACCAGTAGTCGAAAGTATGTATGTGTTAGTTTAATTAATATGTATTTTCTTATATATGTATTTTCTTATATTATAAACTGCCTCGGTGGTGTAGTGGCTAGCATGTACAACTGCACACCCGGAGGTCCTGGGTTCGAGTCCCGGGTCGGGCCAAGTTTAGTTATTGAGTCTTCCTGTATAGTAAGTCTCAGTAACAGCCCGGAGTTGGGAAGTTGGCGGTGTTTCACCCCCGTGCCTCGGAGAGCACGTAAAGCCGTCGGTCCTGCGCCGACACTCTCACCGGTCGTGTCTCGCGTCGTCCCACCGGAGTATGAGAGTGACAGGAATAGAGAGTGCACGTTGTGTCTGCGCGTACACGCACTGCACTATAATATCTCCTGCGCAGTTGGCTAATCTCAATGAGATTGGCTGCCGTAGCCGGAATCGGCTAGGAGAACAGCATCATCATTTTCTTATATTATATGTATTTTTCTAGGAAATAGAATTTATTTATGTTTAATTTACTTCTTTGTAAAATAAATTATTCCAAACTCAAAAGTACTTCATAGAAATAAAATACTATATACTCTTATAAACGGTATGTCATTTAGTTATATAGTTTGGGAGATAATGAAAAATTAAAATTAATCGCCACACACACGCGCATATACAAACACATACACACAAACAAACATACACACAGCATATAGTGTCGCTAATTACTATAATAATATAATAAAAATCTTTTTATTATTTCAGATGATCCAGAGCAAAATAATTCACAAGTAACTTATTCAAAGTTGTACAGAAAAATAAAAACGAAAAATGGCTTCAAGTATAGTTGCATGATGTGTAAGACAGATACCTTCGACAAATATGTACAGTTAAAACAACATGTAAATGAAAAACATCCAAAACGCTACATATGTAATATATGCAATGAAAAATTTCTAACCCGCAAAAAATATACCGTCCACTGCCGGAAACATCAAAGAAATCACAAATGTCAGTACTGCGAAAAAAGTTTTTTAAGTTCAGAAAGTCTAAAACACCATTTCAATTACCATACAAAAGTTAAAAAATTTATTTGCGATATATGCAAAAAACAATTTTTACACAAAAGTACAATGAGCAAACATATGTTATGGCACATGGGGTTGAATAAAAAAATCATTTGTGATATCTGTGGTAATTTATTTAACGATTTGACAAATTTAAATATACATAAATCCGCTGTTCATTACAAGTTTAAGCCGTATAAATGTGACTATTGCTCGAGAGACTTTGCCGCTAAGAAAAATTTGAAATATCACTTGAGAACGCATACGGGTGAACGACCATACAAATGTGATATCTGTCAACGTGGTTTCGTAAATTGGACGTATTTGAAGAAACATTTAAAAACACACGAGCTGTTGAAAAATAAACAAATGATGTGGGACGGTAAAGGGCGTTACGTTTGCAAAATTTGCGCGGAGATTTTCGACCATCGTGGTTTGTACACGTCCCATGTGAGGAAACACGATCTCGTCAAACCTCACAATTGTGATACGTGCGGAAAAAGTTTTTGTACTAGATACACACTAAATCGTCATATTGAAACCCATATTGGCATAAAAAGATTCCCCTGCGATAAATGCGGACGGTTTCTATCAACGAATTCGTTATTAAAACGCCATATTGCAAGAATACACGACCTGAATAAAGTCATTAAACAGCGATTTAAATGTGAAGTCTGTAAAATGTCAGTGACAGATATGGAGAAGCATATGAAGAGTCATACTAATAAGCGTTTTAAATGCGAATCTTGTTCTCGATCGTACTCTGAGAGGAATGCGTTACATAGACACATAAAGCAAGCCCACAGCGGAATAAATTATCCCTGTGATGTTTGTGGGAAAGTATATGTAAAAAAGGGTAGTTGGAAAGCTCATACAGAGAGGGCGCACAAAAATAAAGTTAAAATGGATGAAGAATGATATTTTACATTGGTATTAGAAATGTTATTTTTAAAGTTATACTTCTTTTGGTACGTTTGGGAAAAAAATATGAGAGTAAAATTTTTACAATTCGCGTGCACACTGCTGAACAGAGAGTTGTGACATACGGGATGAAATCTTTAGCTATTTTTGTTCTGTTACGCCAAAGAAGTATAACTTTTCTTTTTAATTTTAAGAGAAAATGTTTTGTTTGTAATTTCATTGCAACAGGTTTATTTTCACTGATCTTTATGGCCCGATTGTGGGATGGGAAGGTTTTATGTCACGCATATTATAGAATCCGAATCTGGGAACCGTTTCCATCATTCCATTGAGATCACATGCCATAGGGCTGCCGTTTGCGGGGAATACCCGCATGTGTATCGACCGAGATATCGATTAAATTCTTTTATTTGTCGTTATCTCGCATTCGGGGATTCCCCGCATGCGGTATGACGATGAAGTTAACGACCAATCAACATGAGACGTATTGTATGGGATGTCTGTCACCGAAGCGTTAAATGAGTTAAATTATCTGAGGATGAATTAATTATGTATAATAAATAAGAAATTGAAAAGAATTAAGGTTTTTTATTTTACCACAAACAGAGAATTCCAATGAATATTATTAAGACTAGCGATGTCACCTCTCTCTGCTCGGTTTCTTCCGTAAATGCCCAACAGTTGCCTATAAGTTTTATGTATTTTTCATCCAAATCTGTTCATTCGTTTTCGTGTAAAGAAGTAAAAAACGTTACGCATTTATCACAGAAGTCCGATCTTTTAATTGCTGTTGATATTTTTTTTAACAACTTCCAATTTCGCTAAACGCGCAAAACGTTCTGCCAGTGCAAATTAGGGTTAAATTTCTATGTAAAATTATTCAACGTTTAAGATTGTTTCACAAGCAATGATAATTCTTTTCATCTAGAATTCATTTGCTAGTAGCGCCATCTCATATATGTTTCATATAAATCTCCCATTCACGTCAGTTTTGAGTTAAATTTTAGACCAATTCCTAAATAACTTTGAAAATATCTGATTAGGTATCTATTGTAAATGAACACCGCTGTTCAGTTATTTTTTACTTTTTAGTGCCTGAAAATGGCCTTTTTTCGTCTTTGCCTATTTATAATATATAGAAAAGAAATGTATTCACGATTTGTTTCCAACAATATGTGTTACACCACAGTTCCTATATTTTATCTATACTAATATTATAAAGAGGCAGTGTGTTTGTTTGTTTGAACGCGCCAATCTCAGGAACTACTTGATTTGAAAAATTCTGTTTGCATTAGATAGCCTGTTTATTGAGGAAGGCTATATATCATGATACTACCCAAGGGAGTGGAGCAGCAATCGTAAATGTCAACAAATCAGGCAGATTTCCATATATTATTGTAAAACTAATCTTTATAATATGTTTAAGTGCTTTAAGCTCAAAAACTACTGCACCCATTTCAAAAATACCTTCTGCATACAGCCAGTTTTTTGTAGTTTTAACGCGAGTGAAGCCGCGCGCTGTTAGTTATAAAATAAATTAATAAAACAAATTTCACATATGAAATTAAAGTTTAACCATCAAGAGTAGAAAACTACGGTAAACTATGGAAAGGAGAACTATGTTATATGGAAGGAGTTTTAAAAGAAAACTACAAAAATAATATTATATTTGTTCTTTATTATTACACTAACACGAAATTCAATATTTATCTACAACAACAACTTAAACAGTGCGTTTATATAAAATACAAAAATGTAGGAAACAAAAGTAAACTTCATATCAACCTTTACAAAGGAAAATGCATTATTTTTGAAATAAAAAATATATATATTTCAACTAAATTATTGTTTTGACAAACAAATTGTCTACCGAAGGAATAATATTTTTATTAATGACAATATTTTTGTTTATTTGCCTACATAACCTTATTATTACATATATGCTGTCTGTTTATCCATATGTCCGACCTATAAAATATACATTTTAAAACTTCAAAAGGGGTTTTACAAATGACATAATGTTATTTAATAAAAAAAATAAGTATGGTTTAAAAAAAATATAAAAACGCGACGAGACTCGTCCAAACGAGCCCAAACTCGAAGGAGTGACTGGTAGTAGCCATGGAAGAGTTCCACCATCCAACTCCTGGCTCCAAGTCGGTGAGATAGCATCAAATAATTGAATTGTTATTTAAATAACACACACACAAAATTGCCAATAATTTGAAATCGACTTTCATATCAAGATTTAATTATACTAGTTAAAAGTGCATCTAATAAAAACGCTCTAAAAAATAAAAAAAATCAAGTCGCCCAAAATGGCGCCTAAAATCCATACATCCTATAATACTATAACAACGTATTATCAAGTTGGTTCAGCCGTTTAGCAATTACGAGGGAACATAAGACTAGACATATATACATACAGGTCAAACACATAACCGTCCTTCAGGTTTCGCCGCAGTCGGTTAAATAGGTTAAAAAATACAATAAAATCAATTAATTTGAATATTATGATATGAAATTTACTTTACAATATTTCTTTTATTATTTTTATATACATTAAATAACGAATTCCTTTTCAACCAGTTCAATTCTGGGTTGAAGTAAAAAATGTACTCTTTTTTTTTTAATTAAAACACCTTAAGGCGAAGGCATTTTGACATTTTATTTATATATTGATAATTTTAAATTATAATAATTATGTATATAATATGTTATTTTACATCACTTGTATATTTATTGAAGAATTAATTACTTGTATTTTATGGCCATTTAAATACAAATGTAAATTTAATGTTTTTAATAACATGAAGAATATATCAAAACATATCTATACAGATAAATAAAATTGAAGTGTCTGTTTGTAATGTCAAAATAACAGCTTTTTACTAAATGCATATGAAATTATATACAATACTTATAAGAAAAGCACAATTTTTAAAAATTATGTCAGTCTGTCTGTTTGTTCCGGCTAATCTCCGAAACGGCTGGACCGATTTTGACGGGACTTTCACTGACAGATAGCTGATGTTATAAGGAGAAACTTGGGCTACTTTTATTTAAGAAAAAAAAAAATAGGGTTGCGCTCAAAAAATTTAAATCGTACCTAGTATATCATAATATAATGAGCTAAAGTCCATCTAATATTGTTTTAATCTTTTCCTACAAATTTAAAATTATGTGACATATTTTCAAATCAACGCCTTAAGGGACATAAAGAAAATAAAATGTGATACTAAATAATAATAAATTGGAAGCACGATATAAATAAAAACTTATAAACTATGAGACATAAACGTTTCATTACGTTACACCTAATTATATCTATATACAACTTTTTTTTTCCAATAAATGATCTATACATTTGTTGGAATCACATCAAAATCGGTTAAACAATATTCTGAGAAATTAGCTAAATAGCATTTACATGTAAAATGTGCAAAGAGAAAATAAATCATTTAGGTAAAATTAACTTTAAAAACTAAGGCCATTTTCTCATATGACCTGATACATGGTGTGATAAAAAGTTCATTTATACTCAATTTTTTATGATTTATACTCAATTATTTAGGTTGAAAAAACAAACATATAGCCTTTGATTTTAAAGGACAAGCTGTTAAATGCAAGGATGTAAAAATATCAATTTTCATAATAAACAGTTTGAATGTTAAAGCATTGTAGTGTTATTTTGTGGCAAATTAGTTATATATCAACCCTATATCCGTTTCCCGATTGTCATATAAAAGTTTGTATGCCAGTCGGGAGCAACGAGAATTTGGTAATAGCATCGATAAAAAAAAAAACACAATCAGCGACAAAAAATGTCCTCACCGAATGAGCGTTCTTTTGAATATTTGAGCGCGATTTTAATTTTTTTTGTGAAAACAACTTTAAGCATTCCATTTAAGGTTGAATTTACATTGTTGTATATTTATTTCAACTAGAATTAGCTAAACACAATTGGTGATAGTTTTAAGAGAACTTTTGCATGGGATTGAGTATTTAGTACTTTTTTGATCGATGACTTTCATCTACCTTAGAAGTTAGATGTATCATTTACATACATTTATCAATTTCTTTCTCTTCTAGTATAAAGTGTATTATAACGAAATATTTAAGCGTTATGTCTTCATTTAATTTTATTTCAACGATATTGCTTTTACTGTTACCATTTTTTTAGTATGTGGTACAATTTTAATTAATAATTTATATAGATCTTTCTACTAGATATATTTAGTTAACTTTCACGCTCAATATTTAAAAATTTAAGTTTAATTAACTTGACAAGTCCAATATAGATTAAAAATAATCCTTACTTATAAATGGGAAAATATTCAAATGTCTGTTACATACATCGATCAAAATAGTACTAGATACACAATTTGCGACAAAAAGTGTTCTCACCGAATGAGCGCTCATTTGACAATTTGAGCGCGCTTTTAATTTTAATTTTGTGTTTGTGAAAACAACTTTAAGCATTGCATTTAAGGTTCAATTTACATTGTTGTATATTTGTTTCAAATAGAATAATTACCTAAACATAATTGTTGAGTTTTAAGAGAACTTTTGCATGGGATTATGTATCTAGTACTTTTTTGATCGATGGTTACATAACTCAGTTTTCAAACTGAACCGATTTTGATGAAATTTGGTTTTTTGTTTAGCGAAGCCATAGCTAAAGATTAATATTGAAACAAATTTATTTAACATGCGGAATTTAAGTAAGTTATTCTATAACAAGAATTAAAAATAAACTTCGAAGCACTCTTATATACAAATGTGATTATTTTATTCTCCATACATTAAATTTTCACTATAAAGCCATGTAAGTTATTCAAATCCTTCCTTTATTTTGCAAATTCCTAATACATACTAGATTAAATTTAACCGACTTTCCAAAATAGATGCCATCGAAACCATCACATCCTACAAACCGTCAATCGACAACCAAAAATGTCGATTCCGTTATTTTTTGAAATTCCGTTATATTTTAAAATGTCATCTCGTTATTTCGGGAAATGTCGTTCCGTTATTTTTTGAAATTCGCCAGAATCTCGTCATCGCTGTTATCTGATATTTCAATTTTAACTTCACAGAAGTCAACTTTGATTTCTAGATTGCGGTTTTTCACTTTCTCCCACACATCTTTTGCGACACTCGCGTCTGTATCTTTGCAATTATACGTTTCATTTGGATGTTTTCGACTGTAATGCCTTATTATATTTTGTCTATGCGAAAATGTCTTTGGGCAAACCGCACAGAGGAACGGTTTAGCTTTCGTGTGCGTCCTCATATGGTATTTTAACCGACTTTCCTTTGGGAAGGTTTTGTTGCACACATCACATACTAAATGCTTAATTTTCGCATGACGCAACGTATGTCTTTGCATGTTGTGTTTATGCGCGAAAAGTTTGTTGCAAATCGGGCAAGCATATGGTTTTTCACCGGTATGGCGTCTCATATGGGGTTTAATTAGGCCAGCATGGGTAAACTTTTTCCTGCAAACTTTACAGGAATAGGGTTTTATACCGTTATGAAGTTGAACATGTCTGATTAAAGTCGACTTGTACTTGAAACTCATGTCACACTTGTCACAAACGTACGGTCGTTCTGTTGTGTGCCTTCGCAGGTGACTTTTCAATAGAAACTCCTTTTTAAATGTCTTATTGCACACCGTACATATTATTGGTTCTTCTCTTGGACGTCTGCATTTACCTTTACTCTGGTGTTTAATTAGATTTGCTTTCACAGCAAATTGTCTTAAACATTGCTGACACTCAAACGGTTTGACTGCTAGATGTATACGTTTATGCTGTTCTAAATTTGATGTAGTTCTGAACATTTTACCACATTCTTCACATTTGAAACGTTTTTCTGTCGAATGTGTGAGTAAATGTCGTTCATAGTGACCGGGTTTGACGAATTGTCTAAAGCAAGTGGCACATTCGAGTTTCTCTCTAGTATGTAACAGCATATGCCGTTGTACGTTGGCTTTGCTTGCGAAACGTTTATGGCATATTGGACACATATATTTACCATCTATAGTAGAATTGAGGCTTAAAACTTCTTCTGATACTGAAAAAATACAATTATATTGTGTTAATTGAATGTATGTATGAAATACTTTCTTAGGTTTACGCGAATATTTGACATTTTAAATAAAACTATATTTTCGGATATTATCGAGGATTTATTTGATTTTTGAGAATGAGTCTCTCACGTGACCACGATTTTTGGATTTTTTCGCGTTCGAAGCGAGCAATTCCATTAATCCCGTTAATATTATAATGCGAAAGTATGGATGGATGTTTGTTACACAATCACCACAGAACGGCTGAACGGGTCTGGATGAAATTTGGCACAGAGATAGATTATAGTCTGGAATAAAACATAGGTTATTTTTTATCCCGAAAAAAATGTACCGTTCCTGTGGGATATATTTTTTTACATAAATATATGGAATACTTCTTCATATGAATCCGACTTGAAATTGACTAAAATGTGATAATTTGAACTTACCATCACTAATAAATATATTAGGAGGCTTTGGCGGCAAACCTTGAGGCACGGCGAAATTGAAATCATTCTCCTGAAATAAAAAATATATATATTTAAAACACTTTAAATAATAACATATATACTAATATTGCAATAAATAATACGAGTGCTCTCCTTCGACTGCAATCTATACAAATATTATAAAGTGATAGAGTTTGTTTGTTTGAACGCGCTAATCTCAGGAACTATTAATCCGATTTGAAAAATACTATTTGCATTAAATAGCCCGTTTACTGAGGAAGGCTATAGGCTATATATCATCATGCTACTACCCAAGGGAGCGGAGCAGTAGTTATAATAATGTCAACAAATCGGGCAGACTTCCATACATTATCACTAAGTAGCTGGGCGATCGAGCTTCGCTCGGAGTTTTTGGCCAAAAAAACATTTAAAAAAAACTAAAAATTGAATAAATACAAAAAAAAAACAAAAGTAAAAAACTTTGTATCTGACCGGGATACGAACCCAAACACCTGTGGTTGTCAAAATTGCACCTTACCCGCTTGACCACGATGCTTATGTCCTAGCGTGCGAATTAGCGACCATATTTTGCGTGAAATAATGCGAAACAAAACCGCATGAAAACTCGAAAACACGCGTTTTCCCAGACATAAAACTAATCTAGATCGATTTATCGCCCCGAAACCCCTTGTATACTAAATTTCATGAAAATCGTTGGAGCCGTTTCTGAAATTCAGATTACGTATATATATAAATATATATACAAGAATTGCTCCTTTAAATATATTAGACAGATAGCATAAAACAAGAGTTTTTTTGTACTTTTAGCGCGAGCGTAGCCATGGGTTCTGCTAGTCCATTATATTCTTAAAAACTTCACTAAAAATAAACAAGCAGTATGTACTCCCAAAATTATTTCCTATTGTAAAAATAAAAAATGATAATAATATGATAAATAAGGCTTTAAATTTTAACTATCACTTCAATGTAATAAATACAGTAAAAAAATTGTATGTCAGTTTGTTTCTTTCTTACTTCTTTATGCTGTAACATCTCAATGAATTAAACGAAAAAAAATATTCTGGACTAACACATGTATTCAGCCCTTTATAACGTCCCCCTGCTGGGAGTGGGCCTCCCTTCAGTACGAGGGTGATCAGGCCATAGTACACCACGCTGGCCAAGTGCGGGCGTACTGAGCATGTCTTTCAACAACTTGGTAAGTTTTCTCGGACATGCAGGTTTCCTCATGATGTTTTCCTTTACCGTGAGGCAAGTGGTAATCATGTTGGAAATGATTCGCACATGAAAATATCAGTGGTGCGAGACCCGGGATTTGAACTCACTTCACTCGGTTTCCCAAACGAGCGCGAACCGCTGGGCTACCACTACCTACTACTTGTAGATTTAACTAATTTAATTAAAGATATTTTATTAATTGTTACATTTAATCTAATTTTTGTTTATCACTTACATTCGTCTCTAATTCTTCGGGTTCTTGCTTAATATTAACTTCTATGTTTATATTTGGTTGGAGTCCCGGCTCATATTTGAATGGGACATTTTGCCATTGGGCTTGTTCATGTTCTGCTTCGGGATCGCCTTTGTAACTGAAAGGAAAAACTACAATTAATAAAATAATAACGTCCATCCAACAGATTCCGGCCACGGCGGCCAATTTGACGACACGTTTGGCTCAGTTTGTAATGACCCTACTTGCTGAGCCAGCGGTCGCGGGTTCGAGTCCCGCTGGGGGCATTCATTTGTGTGACGAGCACGAATATTTGTATTTCAATCATGGGTGGTTTATATTTATAATATGTATGTATTTAAAGTTATATATGTGTAGTGTATCAACTATCTGGTATCCATAACACAGGCCTTGTAGCTTACCATGGAACTAGATGGTGCTGTGTTAATGTAAATAAAAAAAAATCTCACTAAGACTAGCCAACTACGCAGGAGATATTAAAGTGCACAAGTGTACGCGCAGACACACACGTGCACTCTCTATTCCTATCACTCTCATACTCCAGTGGAATGACCGAGTCACGACCAGTGAGACTTAAAGCTCAGGACCGACGGAACACGTGCTCGCCGGACACGAGAGTGACACACCGACAACTACCCAACTCCAGGCTGTTACTGAGATTTCTTGACAGAAATACTCAATCACTGAACTTGGCCCAACCCAGGACTCGAACCCAGGACTTCCGGATATGCGGCCGTACATGCTAGCTACTAGACCACTGAGGCAGTTAAAAATACATTTGTATTATTAGCAACATACCCACCTTCGTTTCGCTCCGATGCGTCATTAGATACGCGAATTGCGTTCATTATACATATATATATATATATATATATATATATATATATATATATATATATATACATACTTACTTTTTTAAGACTTACAATTTTCTAGTACAATGTTCTGATAGATGTATTTCTTAAGGCTTACGAAAACAGATTTTTTGGAGAATAAAAAAAACGGACAAGTGCGAGTCTGACTAGCACGCAGAGGGTTCCGTATCATAAAACATTAAAATTTAAAATACGAGTATAATCGCAAAAAAAAAGTTTTTATAATATAATTACAAATTAACAGTTATTACTAATTGTGCTTTAAGATATGTCGACGGGAAGTACCCTTACAGGTTTTGATTCCCTTCGTGTGTCAAAATATGCAACACAAATGGCCGTATCTTTTGATTGCGTTGAATTAAAAGTTTGATTCTTTCACAGCTTTAAGGAAATAAAGACCTGAGTATTTCATATTAATTTCAATTTGATATCTCTACGCGTTCCTGAGAATGAAAAGGGACAGATGACAGGCAGACAGATGGACAAAGAAAAGATCCTATAACTTATAAGGATTTCTTTTGACCTTAATAAAGAAACTGTCATAGTTCAGCTTCAACATGTAACATTTTACTGCAATAAATTGTTATAAATATATTAATTTTTAAGCCAGCTACTAACATTTTTTGTGTGAAATAATCTTTAAATTTTTGTATATAAGACAACTCGGCTGAACCATATATTGTGTTTTCCCATGGGTATGAAAGATTTTCCTGTAGTAAAAGGTATCTTAAATGTTGACCCCAAGTAATAAGATATCACTACACAAAATTGAATTATAATTGGTTCAGTACTTTTTTTGTAAAACCCAAACAGACAAACATGCATACTGACAGACAAAAATTTTACCAACTATAGTTCAGGTGTATATTCTATACACAAAACTCATTATATTTCAAAATTTCTTCATGTACAGATTGTATGCTCTCGATTTATCCATAAAGATTGTTTACTTTCTTTAAAGAACAAGGGAAATTTTATATCATTTTTTTGTTGTTATTTTACAATTTTTGAGACAAAAATATAATGAGTGATAAAAAATATTATATATTTTGTATTTTTAAGCATTAGTTCTTCTCCTTTAAAAAGCGATAACTAATATTAGCTTATTTTTATCTTCTTTTCTTCATTATAATAAAATCTGTTGGCTATTTTTATTTATTACAATTTATTTATTTCTCACAGTAAAGAGTATTCTATTAATATTTGTGTACTATTTTAAAACATTATTATGTGGCTTCATGTTTAGTTCTATGACACTCTCTCTATATTATCCCTTAGTCTGAGGAGGAGGCTACATACTTTTCACGTGCAGGCACCCGTAAAGGGGTTTCCCACAATTCAAAAAAAAAAGAAATGGAGGCTACATACTTTTAACATTGTTAAACTGAGTTTATAATTTACAATGTCTGCTGTAATAGGATATAAAAACTAAACTAAATTTGTGAAATTCATGTTTTATAATAGTTGCCATATATCAATTAAATAGTGTCTCACCCTTGCTTCGCTTCGAGTTCATCCCTAGACAAAAACAAATCTATCCCACAGAAGCCATACATTTTCCTGGATAAAAAGACTACAATCTATCTCTGTGCCAAATTTCATCCAGACCCATTCAGTCACTCTTGCGTGAAAGAGTAACAAACATCCATCCATCCATCCTCACATACTTTCACATTTATAATATTAGTATAGATTATTGATGCATATATGAAAAAAATATTGTAGTAAATTAGAAATAAAAAAAAATAGATACATAGATACTTAAGTATTCCATCATTATTAATATTATATATAATTTTAGTTTATTATGAATATATTATAATTATATAAGATAAGTGTATATTGTAATTAAATTAAAAATATATATCTAAATATACAGCCTATTTACCCTATTTAGTATTCCATTTATATTTCGTAGCAACATTATGTCTAATTCATGCATATTACTTTTAATGTAGCTACTAACATAAATTTAATAAAACTATATAATATAGTAATAAATTATGTGTGGATATTTATGATCTATATACAAGTGAGTGTTCTTAATTGAAAGAAGTCAATACTTACTCGTAATCTATTATATCTGGTTCTACTTTAATATTCACAAACTCTGTGTTGTCGTAATTATTACTATTTTCTAATCTTTTTTTTATATTTTCACTAAAATGTTCGGAATCACCGAAACTATTCACATTATTATTTGACGATGATGGTTCGTCTAAATCAGGTTCGATCTTAATTTTAACGTATTCGAGAGACATTTTTCTAAATAATATTATATATAAGCGATAAAATTAAATTGTCTAAGATATATATATTACATTTTTTAAGTATTTTATTATTGGAAACCGCTATGTGTCGCTTCTTAGAATTTCACTTGACTTGACATCGGAGGAAAGTGCTGCCATAGAGAAATATGAAAGTAGTGTTGCCTTAAATTAATTGTTCAATGTTAGACAAGTTTTAAATTTATTTACAATAACACATTAAATTCATTATTTAATATGATTATTGTGGTAATTATCATTCATAAAACTCCAAATTCACTCGTATGGTTCATAATGCCAAAGAAACCGTGATTTTTTAGCACAAGTAGTGTAGTGTATAAAAACATTTGATTATTTAAATCTATTTGATTTAAAATAGAAATAAAAATTTTAATCAAATTTTATATTCTATACCAAATACTTAATTTATAAAAAGGATAATAAAAAAGGTCTTAATCAAAATAGTAAAAGTATTAAAAGGATGTGTGTGAATATTTGTGTGTGCTTACATAACATAAAGCAATTTAGTAATATCTTATGACTACATTATATTTTAATCAAAATCGTGCAACAAAATCGAGGGCATCCATATTATAATTTAAAAAATGAATAATTGTTCACATAACCTTATTGCTACTAATTTCAAGAATATGCGAAAACGAATATTTATACTTCATATTTTAAATATTTATTAAAAAATTTGAAAGCTTTGTAATTTTCACATTTCACTTTCTTAGTATATGTCCAGTTGAAAAGTTAATACAGTCAATTAATAATTACTCGACCGTCAAATTAAAAAATAATAATAAAAATAAAAAAATATATACGTCCTTCTTTCGAAACAAGTGAGATGGGAAGTTATGAGACTTTGATATTGTCAGGTTGGTATTTGATATTTCTTATATCGAATATTTGACGACACGTTTAGCTCAGTTTGTAGTGACCCTACTCGCTGTGCCAGCGGTCGCGGGTTCAAGTCCCGCTGGGGGCATTCATTTGTGTGATGAACACGAATGTTTGTACTCCAGTCATGGGTGTTTATATTTATAATATGTATGTACTTAAAGTTATATATGTGTAGTGTATCAATTATCTGGTATCCATAACACAAGCCTCGTAGCTTACCATGGAACTAGATGGTGGTGTGTGTTTATGTCCTAACATATTTATTTATTATTTATTTACTGAGAAAGAGTGCGCAGGTTCGATTCTTTCGTAAACAATATTATAATTTTCTTGCTTTTCAGTAACATTTATATGTATTTTGAGTCCCACGATGCTTCGAACTAAAAAATATAAAGCTGTACCATATAAACTTGTGCTCAATGGAAGATATCGGTAAGCAGTTTTTAATAGAATTGAAACTAATATTAAAGAAAAAAACTGAGCTTAGAGGATTCACGTTTTATAGGTCATACCTGTATCATCACGTTCCTCGTGATTCTCCTAAAAGATCATAATTTGCGGTTAGGACACTTTTTTAGGTTTTTTGCGGTTTTTTCAAACTTCTATTAGGGCCGTCGTCGTAAAAACGTTTCAAAATAAAAGAATCGATTGTGGCCCGCTGGGGCTCCCTTGAATCAGGTGCCGCATGCCACCGTATTGGTTACATTGACATAGCTACGCCACTGCGTACACCCATACAAGGAAATTTAACACAAGTGAAGAATTTAAGGATTTGCCTTTTAGCTCAAAAATTCCTTAAAATGGAGTATAAGAGCTTGAGCGGAATTCTTGTATATTTATAGGCCTCCAATGACACCTGCGCCACCACCCGGAGCACCCAACGAAAGGGATAAGAAAATGGACGGTTACTATGAACCGTATTGGGAGGGAGGCGAATGGGTATTTTATAGGTAACTGAAAATAAAACTAAAACTTATTTATTAATATTTATGGTAATTCGACCCAAACTTTACTTAAGCTCGTTAAAATGTTACAGTATGAAGAAGTTATAAACATACCCACTTTTTCTCTCTTTCTCTCTCTCATTCTCTCTCTTTAATTTATGATATGGTTGTGAAAAAAAAATCCAGTCGCTCAGTCGGAACGATTTCTTTTCTCTAAGATTGGGATAGGTGGTCATCGTATTTTGGCAGCGTTAAAAATGTTCGCATTCTTTGACAGATGTTAAATAAAATGGATGTCGGTATTTGCAACAGCATTCTTATTTCACCACTAGTGAATTAAGCAAGGATGCTGTATAAAATTAAACAATTAATATTAATAAAGTCGGACAAATACCAGTCTGACTAGCACACCGAGGGTTCCGTAGCATGAAACATGAAAATAAGTTTATAGTCGCAATTTTTTTTGGGAGAAAACTACAAATTTACGGTTTTCACATTTTTTCCTTCACTTGTGCTATAAGACATCGCTTCTTGTCAAAATTCATGATTCTAGGTCAACGGGAAATATCTTAAAGGTTTGGATTCTCTTGCGAGTGTCAAATTATGCGAATCCCAAACGGCCGTATTTTTTGATTGTATTTACATAGAAGTTTGATTTTCTCACAACTCCAAGGGATTGCCGACCTGAGTATTTGGGTGTATTAGCTCTACGCGTCCCTGAATAAAAGGATCTTGACAGATAGACAAACAATGAAGCGATCCTATAAGGGTTCCTTTTTGCTTCTTGAATTACGGAACTCTAAAAATAAGAGAAAAAAAAGTTTGTAATTATGATAACTTTAATTAAAAAGTAAGCCAAATTAAAATCTATTACTAAGTACATAATTGTACCGCTCGTGAGGGGTGGTTTTTTTTATTTAAAAAAATATGTAATGTTGTAAATAATTTATGTGATTATTTTTCAGATCACCGACAAAAACTCCGAATGTAGACCATAATGAATGTAACCAAGTATGTTTAGATATCTATCAAACGTAAGAATTATATTATCAACATGCATTTTTGGGGTCTCCTAATAGAGGCAAAAATTACTTGCTTAAAAGGAGACCTCAACCCACAAACTTTGTCAACACTATAATCTATCAATATTTTATAAGCAAATAAAATATTTTTATTTATTTTTATTTATATATTTTTCATCTGTCATTTACAAGCATAGGTACATGTAACTGAGGCTTGAAAAATATGTAGTGCACATGTTTGATATTTTTAAATCATTTCTCTTTGTCTCAGTGGCCGAAACCGGCCAGAAGGACATTCAAAGTTAGCATTATTTTTCTAGATATGGAGAAGTTTGCGGTATGAGGTTGAGGCATGATGAATGGACATACGATTTCAAAACGTTCACGAATATGTGCTTTTTAGAACTAGAGAACTGCAAAAACAAAACTAAAAGTAAGTATTCTTTTTCTTCTGGAGAACTAATATTTAAGCCGTTTATGTCCCATTTAATTTCATATCTAGTTTTTCTTAAATACGAATATCTGACCGATTCCTCAACGCCAAGATGAAGCTGCTCTACCCAGAAGCTGGAAGTTCTGTCAGTCTATGCCTCTTTATTTCGTAGCAGTTGCGGAAACCCCTCATGGGTCCCTGTCGTCCGTCAATGGGCAGGGGACTGATACTCTCAATCACTATAAACTCTCAATCACCATCTAGTTCCATAGTAAGCTATGAAGCTTGTGTTATGGATACTAGATAGTTAATACACTACATATATGTATACAAGATGCCCCAGCGCAAAGTGACCGTCTGGCGTCCTTTAACTATTTGGACAAAACTATCAACCAATACCATTAAAGTACAGCAGCTCTTATCTGTTTGGGTTTTTTTATATATTTTTTTCGTAGAGAGAAGCACTATTTTTAATTTTTTTTTTGGTTTTTACATTTTTTTCATTCTGTGTTTTTTCTTTACAAGTTCTTATCATAATTTATCGATTCGAAGTATAAAATCTACCCAAAATTAAATAGGATATTTTTTTAAATAAATTAACTCTAAATTTTTATTTCATTTTGCTAAAAGTTGGATAAATTCCCAATTAATATTATTATTTTATTAATTATTATTAAATTACATGATATTAACTACAGATTCTCATAACCATGTCTATAGTAATCTAAAACATGTGCTGAACTATAAATTGTTCAAAAATGACTAATTCGGTCAAACATGGGATAGAGCAGGTATAATTTATTTTACCTGCGCAAATAACTGTTTTTTTATTGTGCTGCGCGCACCCACACTGTAGAGCACTACAAAAAAAAATCCAATAAAAAAAACCAAACCGATAAGACCGATAGCTTTGCCCAAATAATTATCAAAGGAACGCTGGGCGGTCACTTCGCGCTGGGGCACCTTGTATATAACTTACATATCATAAATATAAACACCCATGACTGGAGTACAAACATTCTTGCGCATCACACAAATGAATGCCCCCAGCGGGACTCGAACCTGCGATCGCTGCCACAGCAAGTAGTCACTACCTGAGCCAAACATATCGTCAAAATTAATTGACGGATTACAATAGATTGTTTGAGAATTGATTGTTGAGAAACTTGTCGATACCCTAATTGGCAAACCAGCCAACTCCCAAATTTCGTTAAAAAATATTTTTTTGGTTCAAATTGTACGCATCAGTAATTCAGTAGTAGTATTATTATTTTGGTAGGATTCTACAGTATAAAAAATTACAGCTTTTTAAATAAAACTATCTTTTCACGTCGGTAACCAAAAATCGAAATAAATCCGCGAAAAAATCTAAAAAGATAGTTTTATTTAAAATGTCAAATATTCGCGTAAATCTAAGAAAGTATTAAGTTACAGCTTATGGATATTATATATCAACGGTATTTTAGTTTTTTTTTTAAAGTAGTGTACAAAAGAAAAATTATTTATTTTATTAGGAGTGCCCTGAAACTCGCTTGGAGTTAGCTGGTTTGCCTTGTACTGTTTATTTTAATATATTTACTTATATATTTAACTCGATCTTCCCAAGCAACATACCATTTTATACAAAGCATGTTTGATGTAAATAAAAAAAATATAGATGCGAAATTGCAAAAATCCCTGTATCTAAATAAAATATGATTTATTTATTGTTTTTTTTTCAGGATATGGTAAGGTGTTATTAAATATAATTTTAAATAATAAAATCTTTAAAATACGAGTCTTGTGTGTTGAAGGTTATCGTACAGTTTTTATTTTATTTGTTTTAAATACTTTAACTTTTAAATACTCATACTCCGGTGGGACGACTACTCGACATGACCGGTGCGAGTTAAGGCGCAGGACTGACCGGTTTAAGTGCTCTCCGAGGCACGTGGGTGAGACACCGCCACTTTCCCAACTCCGGGCTGTTACTGAGGCTTACTATACAGAAAGACTCAATAACTAAACCTGGCCCGACCCGGGACTCGAATTTAGGACCTCCGGATGTGCAGCCGTACATGCTAGCCACTACACCACCGAGGCAGTTAGACTTATACATACTATATCACATAACTGAATTAATACATGGCTACTCTACGCCTTAGTGCTTATTTATTCAAACTACCAATACTTGTTGTACCTACTTTACAGTTATTGATCAAAAAGTACTATACACAATCCCATGCTAAAGTTCTCTTAAAACTGTCACCAATTGTGTTTAATTATTCTAGTTGAAATAAATATACAACAATGTAAATTCAACCTTAGATGCAATATTTAAAGTTATTTTCATATAAAAATTACGAGCGAGGCTCGTCGCCGCTTGATGGAATGAGTGTTTATTACGACATATTTTAAAAGTACTTAAAAACTGTTTTTACCATCATTTCTTGACAAAATATCTGTATTTATAATATAGTAATAACAATTATATATTGATGTTTACCGAAAATATGAAAATCCATCCTCTTTTAGCGTCTTAGATGTGTGATTTTTTAAACAAACGAGCACCGAGACATGCTTACCGTCGCAGCGTTCGAATACTACTAAATTAAAAGCGCGCTCAAATGTTCAAATGAGCACTCATTCGGTGAGGACATTTATTTAGCTGATAGTGTATCTAGTACTTTTTTGATCGATGTTCACATTTAGTCTCTATTTTTAAAACGCTTTATTTATCTTTTCGGCTTTTTTGAAGTATTCCGTGTATTTTATACTAATAGAATAATTCTGTATTAAAAACTCTTTCGGCAAATTGGTCGTTTGGACAAATAAGCACTGAGACGATGTAGGTACCTAGAAATGCTAACGTACCCAAGCGAAGTGGTACTCGTAAGTCTAGTAATTTAAAAAAATCTTGTTCAAGCCTGGTACCCAGCATACCAAGGTAATTGTACCGAAAATTTGACAACACAGCCCAGCAATAGCACGGAGATCGTAATCAGGAAAATTGAATGGTTGAAACCGTTTGAATAATAAAAACATTACTTACATAAATACTTATATATTGTTGGCGTTCATAAGTTAAATGGTAAAAGTAATTTTGTACTTGATACTAGATTATTAATTTATAATAGTTGTAAATAAATTAAATATAAAATTATTAAAATTTAGATTACAATTAATTATTGGTAAAGCTACTTTAGTGAAGTATGTCATTAAAAGTCATTACATATTTAGTCTATGGATATCGGGAATAACTTGATAAGTCACCATTTGTTTTTTCTACTTCTACCCTCCATAGTTTTTTCTTTAATGTAAAATAAATATAGATAATCTATACTATTATAAGAATGAATAATTTTTTTTATTGAATGGTTTTATAAGTTTGGGTAAGTATAGCCTATATATAGGCAATAAATAAATATTCAGTATAAAAAAATATATTTAGTTTTAATTTTTTTTTTACTGAACGTCATGAGCCTAGTTCAGAAAGAAATGCCTTAATCCTGAGAACAACTGTTCAAAGAAACTCAAAACAGCTTGAGCATCAAAAACTATCTAACAATGGAAAAGATACGTCGTTAGGTTAGTAGATTTTCAAATCTTTGTCTCGGCGATCTTTACCTCCAAATATATCGAAAACGTGACACTTTAGGGCACCATATTGCGAACACTTTTATAAAAATGAAATAAAAAATATCTGTAATAAATAATAACATATCTAAAACATAGGAAAATTCAAAATAATATCAATCAAATTTTCCTGTTTGCCTTTTGCAACGAAGATAACTCAAAAAATGCTTTTAACGCCATCTATGAAACAATGTAAACATATTGTCAGTGAGACGATATTTTATAATTAATAATATATTGTAGTTTAATTTAGGAGCTCGTATTTTAATTCGATAAACCTTTTTTTTATATAAATATATTTTAACGGCTTTTTAGTTATAAATTTTACACAAACAATTAATTTAAATAGTGTTTTAAAAGGCTTGAAATAGATTTTTTTTTCTAAAAACGAGTGCTATAAATTCTTGTATAATTCATTAATTTTGCAAAGCCAAAAAAAAATATTTAAAACAGTTTTTTTAAAGTCTTGAAAAAAGGTTTTTTTTTTTTCTAAAATTGACTGCCATGAATTCTTGTAAAATTCATTCATTTTGAAAAATAAAAAATAATAATTTAAGACTCATCGAGTTATTCAAAGAAAACAATTTTATTAGCCAATACATACTATTTATTTACGATTAATAACTACGTCTATAAAATTGATTTAAAACATCTAGAAAGTACATTGTATATTTGCTTACCCAATAAGACATCAAATTTGGTGTTGCCATGTATGTATGTATATTATTTGTCATTTACCTAAAATATATTTACAAAATTATTAAAATCTCTAAATTTCTAAAGATGAGAAGAGTTGTTACTATGTTAGACCCCGACCCTTTGATAATAAACTTGCGTGAGGACACAGGTCCAACACGTAGAGGCCTCTTAAGAGAGCCAAGTTTGTTTAATGTGACGCATCAGCCGGAATACATTTCTGAATAACCCATAGGGAATAGGCAATAGGGAATGTGCATAATCGTTGAATTTTTTAACAATAGCTTACAGCGCTATATAATTGTAAAAAAAATCGGATTCCAAAAAAAATTAAAAAAAAAATTTAAATATCATATCGATACGGTTATTTTAAACGCCCGCCATTGCAAGCGCTCGGCGTGACGTCATAGTATGATATACACACAGAAATGACGACTCAATTTGTAAGCAACAAAATCTGTGTGTTATGATATATTCTGACGTCATATTCGGCCTGACCAATGGCGTGTGTTTCAACTGCTTTGAATTTCCCACTTATATTTGTACTTTTTAATAAATATTTACGTAACCAAAAAGAAATTACATTAAAAAATATTGATATAGGATTAAAAGATTATAAAAAATATATATATTACACCTTTATTTAAATCACACGTATAAATATAGATTCCCTATTGCCCTATGAGAAATATAAAAAGTTAAAAGGATCTATGGAATGGAGCTCGGATTGGCTACAAAATTGAGCTATTGGACAAGACTAGCGGACGTCCTTCTGTTCACGTCTCAGATTATTATTATTAGTATTAAAACAGCCTAAATTTATACAAGTTTGCAGAACTTCAAAAAACAAGAAGAAAATATTTTTTAATTAAACAACTCAGTCAAAGATTATTTTTAAGTTAAGCGAAAAACGAAAGAAAATCTATTAAAATTCGTTCGAAAATAGACCTTTTTTAACAACTTTCATAGTTTTTTTTAATAAATAAATTGTCAAAAACACTTGTAAGAAGTCTAATTGAGTAAAGTTTATTTCATTTAAATAAATGATGTAATTAAAAAATTAATTTTTTTTCAACTATTTTTAACAAAAAAATATTTTTGTTTTATAAATTTTCATCGAAAACCTTTGAATAAGTATAATCATATCATAAAAATATTATCATATCATAAAAATAGCACGAAATGAGATTCTTTAATTTTCTAATTTAAAAAATTGACACGTATTAGAAAAAAGAAATTTATGAAATGATTTTCACAGTTTTTACATAATTATAATTATTTTATATATTTTTATACATTTACAACATACCTTATTTTATTAACATTCAATGTTTCCACATAACATACTTTAATTTATTTTCCAAAAAAAAAAGTTGGAAACATTCCACTTACAAAAAAAATATATACCTAATCGAAGCGAGGGTAAGTCGATAGTTTTTAATAAATTATAATATAATTTTTTTTAATTCCATTTATAAATTCAAATTGTAGTAAAAGACAGGTATTGGCCGCATTATTGCTCTCTCTCTTTCTAGAGAGTGGTCAGCTTCATGACAGTATTGCTCAGTCAGTACATTATCTACGTATCTAGATGCCTTCATTACACGTCTGTATGAATAAGTACACTGTGGTATTGCTAAGATCCACAACATTAAATTATTAATACAAGTCCCATTTAAAAGACAAAATAAATAGATGGAAATGTCTATTTCTTCTTAAAACATCGGTTTTTTTAAAATAAAAAAACATTTCGCTTTATCCATTCAGGAGCTACGTCATGGACATACAGACATGTCTCATTAAATAAATATATATACATATACGAGTATGTTATCCCATTATAGAAGTTCAAAGTAAACATCTTCATTTCTAACTATTTTTTTTACTCTATGGAAAATGTTGCCACCTTTAAAAATAGGAATTATCCAAAAAATATTATATGGCAAGTTTTCAATACATTTTATTATAAATATTAATTAACAATTTTAAGTATATTATATTCCAAAAAAATCCAACAAAATAAAGTCACAAAGAAAAAAATGTCGCTTCCATAAAAAAAAACTAATAAAGTTAATGAAATATTAAAAAAAGATAACTTTCTAGAACATTCCATTACAATTTATTCATTCAACTAAATCATAGTCCATGTCATTGCAATAGTCCGCTAAAAAATCTAAAAACAAATTGAACTTGCCCGTTGAGGATTTAGACCACTTCGATGATACTGATTTCATGCAGGTTGATAGATTTTCTAGAATATTCTGTAAAAAAAAACAAATTAAATCTCATAATAATCCCATTCATACTAATATTATAAATGCGAAAGTTTGTGAGGATGTATGGATGTTTGTTGCTCTTTCACGCAAAAACTATTAAATGGATTTTAATGAAACTTTACAATAATATAGCTCATACATCAGAATAACACACAGGCTACGTTTTGTCCTGCAAAAATACGGTAACCGTGGGATAGATTTGTTTTTATTTTTCTAGTTAATATTATAAATGCGAAAGTCTGTATGTTTGGTTGTTTGTTACTGAATCACGCCAGAACGGCTGAACGGATCTGGATGAAATTTGGCACAGAGATAGATTATAGTCTGGAATAGCACATAGGTTACTTTTATCCCGGAAAAATGTACGGTTCCCGTGGAGTACATTTGTATTTGTTTAAGGACGAGCCCAAAGCTTAGCGAGGGTGAGTCGTTAGTTATAATATAAATAAAACACAAACAATATAAACACCAACCTGAGGCCAATCCTGTCTGTACACAGCAAGACATTGCTCCGTCAAAGAATCCTCACTCAAGTAACTATTCTTCAGCAAAAACACTATCACATTGGCTAAAGCCTCCCAAACTTCACTAGCTCTGCATCTGGACTCGCTCAATAACACTATATTGCGAGGACATAGTATCCTATCAAAGTATTCTAAAAGACTATTTTGTTCTGACTTTTCCGGTTTTTGGTCTACTTTCTCTGGTTTCTCTGGTTTCGGCTCGGGCTTTGGTATTTCTATTACTGAAAAAGAGAAACAATAAATAAATAAAATAAATAAATAAACATAACAAACAGATAATACTTTCTTAGATTTACGCGAATATTTGACATTTTAAATAAAACTAACTTTTCGGATTATTTCGCGGATTTATTTGGATTCTTGGTTCCCGACGTTTCGAATGCTTTACAGCAATCGTGGTCACGGGAGAGACTAAGGTGTTAGATGTCTCGAAGGTATACTAACCCTTAACTTCTTTCTCTTCATCAGACTCCGGGGGAGTTGGTGCTCTATCATCATAATCCTTGAAAGTTGGAGATAGTTCTGGTCTTCTATCCTCTTCAAGGCCCAGATCCTGGATTTGTCTGTCCGGACAACAGGTATCCCATATTGTATGGAGATATGGGAGGACTTCTGATATTTTGGACGTTTTGCGGCTGACTGGAAATAAGAATTGGTCTTTTTATGGAATTATGTATTGTGTATTACACACACACACACACATATATATATATATATATAATGTTATCTGAGTCAAATCTGTACATTAAATATTTATTAGCCTGGTAACCGTTGTTATTGTCTGACAAATATATAATATTGTATTCTTTCTGTATCTGATATTCTATAAATATGTGATTGTAATATGCCTTATTTAATTATTGATTTCTTCTTAATTTAATTGCGATATTTACCAAAGAAGTATTATTTCAACCGCGCGTAAAGGTGACACACACACCCATTTTTTCCCTGTTGAGGAACACTAAAAATCTAAAAATACAGATAAAAAAATGAGATCCAAATTAAAAACTCACCATAAACAATACAAAAGTCTATAGACAGCTGCAATATCGCTCTCTGAGCAGGAGTCCGACTGAACACGTTGTTCGGGGCGCAACAGTTCACACAACACTTTAGTATGTCTGTTGGTGACGGGATATCTTCGTAATCTAGTAGAAGGCAGATTTGCTCCTGGAAATACAATAATAATCTATACATATAATATAATTGTAACTAAGTCGAATCTGTACATTAAATATTATATTATAGTTTTTGGTCATATGAACGTGGGCGGAGCCGCGGGCAATGCTAGTGTATTATAAATGTGAAAGTTTGTGAGTATGGATGTTTGTTACTCTTTCATGCCAGAAGGGCTGAACGGATCTGGATGAAATTTGGAAAATTTGAAGAATAACATGGGCACTTTTTATCCTACTTTTTATCCTGGGAAAAAGTACGGTTCCCGTGGGATAGGTAAGGTTAGTTTTTGTTTTAGTATTAAAATAAGATAGTAAGTAATAAATGCCAGTTTTCGAAGGGCATGTGAAGTCCGCCCGCACTTAACTGATACCCTCGTACTAAAGGGAGGCCCACCCCCAGCAGTGGGACGTTAAAAAAAGGACTGAATACGACAACAAAAATAAATGTTTAGATTTGGTTATGTGTGAATTGGATTTAAATATCATACTGTTTTAGGAGATTGGAGTAGATATTTTTGTGTTTATTTGGGTCCACTTTTGGGTGCTTTATTAAAAAAAAAACAATTTAATGAACATCGATTCACATTAAAAATACAGCGAAATGAATATCTTCCAGTTTCGAAGTCGGAGTTTTTGAAGTCAAAATGGAGGAAATTAAGTAAAACAATATTCAACATTTGGCTAAAATACAATTTGATAAAGAAAAAGTATAAAAAGATGATAACTTATCATTGGACTTCGAAGCATTTAAAATTATTTATTTAATTATTTTTATTTATTTATATTAAAAGTGACTATTCACAAATTAAGTTAACGAAAATCGTTTAACAATAAAAATCAGATAACATCCGAGTATTCCATCTATTTTTAAAAATGGCTAAAAATATACATATTAAAGAAAATATGTCATAACACCCTTACCTTAAGAGTGATAATCGTTTGAGCCGGACTTTGCAACTGGTAGAAATCTTCAGTAAGAGATAGAGTGGGAGGGACGGGGGGAGATGAATCTCCCACTAGAAGGAGATTGTTCATCTCTTCTTCTATGTTCTTGCAAAGAACCGCTATGAAAAGGAAAAAAAATAAAGAAAAGTCTTAGTTATTGTTAAATACTGCTCAAATATTACGGAATATGAGAATATTTTTATTTAATCATACTAATATTATAAAGAGGTAAAGTTTGTAAGTTTGTGAGTTTGTTTGTAGGAAGTTATCTCTGGAACTACGGTACCAATATAGATGAAATTTGGTATGAATATAGTTTGAGACCCTGGGAAGGATATAGGATAGTTTTTATTCTTATAACTAGCTATTTATTCTCGCTTTGCTTAGGTGCAGTTATAATTTTTTGAGCGGAACCCTAATTCTTTTTCTTATATAAAAGTGGCCTAAGTTACTTCTTATGGCATTAGGTATATGCCAGTGGAAGCTCCATCAAAATTAGTTCAGCTGTTTCAGAGATTGTCCGGAACAAACAGACAGACAAAATTAAAAAAAAAATGTGTTTTTCTTATAAGTACCATATATAATTTCATATGCATTTAGTAATACGCTGTTATTTTGACATCACAAACAGACATTTTAATTTTATTTATCTACTAGCAACCCATCCTCGCTCACTCGGGTTCGTCTCTAGCTTAATTCCCCATACAAACTTCATTCCCCATTTTCACCCCCTTAAGGGATAATTCCGGGATAAAACTATCATATGTCCCTCCCAGGGTCTTAAACTATTATCTTACCAAATTTCATCTAAATCGGTTTAGTACTTTCGGAGCCTATTCGGTACAAACAAACAATCAAACATACAAATCTTTCCTCTTTATAATATTAGTATAGATATAGACGTATGTATGTATGTATGTACACAACTCACCAACAGTCCCCCAATGCTCGCCCACCCAGCGCTCCACGCGGCGCGCGGCGGCGCGCGCGGCCACGGCGTGCAGCGGCGGCGGCGCGGCCGGCAGCAGCGCGCCCAGCGCCGCCGCCGCGCGCGCCCGCGCCGCGGCGCTGCAGCGCGCCGCGGCGTCCAACTGTAGCGATTGCAGCTGCGCTGCGTACAGCGCTTGAAGCGCTGGCAGTAGCGTGGCCTGTTGTTGAACGACCAATATAGCGCTGCATCGCTTAGTTATATGACACGTATGACGCTTTTTATAGACATACGTGTTGTAGTGTCAAAATAAAGCGCTTAAAGCGCTCACTAAAAATGGTCAGTTGTTGGATCAATGTGACATGTAGCGCTGCGTCATACGTGTTTAATATTATCTAGCGTTTTATATCGCTTTTATAAATAGATGTTCATAGTTGATATAAATGCTTATGAGTAAAACATTTAAAACAGTGACTAAAAATTATATTTATTATTAAAAATCACATATAGAGATAACGAAGCAGATCATAGTCTAAATACCGCTAGTTCTAAATAACAAAAATTATAAATCGTCAAAAATTAATAATTAAAATTTATAAATGTAAAAAGGGTGTGAACGATAAGTAATAATAAAAAAAGAAAAACACCTACCACTGCATATCAACTCATAATAAACATACATATAAATGTCACTCAAACCCGTCCATCTGTCCAACACACACACCCCCTCCTACCTCCCCACTCACCCTATCCGGATGGAGCGCCAGCAGCCCCGCGGCGCGCGCGCGCGCCCCGCGCCGCGCCGCCGCCAGCAGCGGCGCCAGCTCCTTGACGAGCGCGGAGGCGACGCGCTCCGTCACCAGCTCCAGCACGCGGCGAGCCGACGCCGGCTGGCTCTTCAGCAGCTCCTCCTCGAGCCGGCTCTGGGGAAACAAACCACACCACACACCATAAACAACTCGTTCTCGAGCCGGCTCCGACTGGCTATTCAGTAGCTGCTACTCAAGCCGACTCTAGGGGAACGTAACATAAACGGCTCTTCTATTGAATTTCTTGCCGGCTCTTGTCAGCACAACTGCTTTGACTACACTGACGCTCTTCAAATTATATTGACGATTCAAAATTGCTTATAGTAAGTCTAATTCACATTATCTTTATACATACAGGGTGGAATAAATAAGACCTGGAAGTACCCTAAATTATTAAATTAAGTTTTACTTATAAAAAAATTATAATAACCGCATTTATTTATTTTTTTAAATACTTACCTGACCAGGTAATCAAACCAACTACAAATACAATAAAATACACCATCATTATTTTATCGCCACCCATTTGTTCCACGCTGTATATAATTTTTCCGTACGTGTGTATGTCACGGAACTCCTCCTAAATGGCTGAACCGATTTTGATGATGTTTTTTGTATGTGTTTGAATAGATTTTGGGATGGTTTTTTCACGACTAAATCCTAGTCGGGTTCTACGATCCTATCTAAAGAAATTTTTCAATGAAATAAAATCATACACATATATGTATATAGTATTTCTTGTTACTTATTTAGGATGTTTAGGTTGGCAACACTTGTGGGAAAGAGATAGTGCATGTAAAATCTTTTTTTTGTTTCAATCTATTCAATCTATTTTGTATCAATATATATACTATTCCCGTGGGAAAGATTTTTTTTTCTAGGGAAAAACCCGAAGCGAGAGTGAGTCGCAAGTTAAATTACATATTTAATAAATAAAAATTAAAAAATGAATATAATACTCAATAAAATAAAAATTAAGACATTCATTTTTTATTCCAATTTAAACTTTTCATAGTATCTTTTTAGTCATACATTTTTAATTTGAAAAAAAAATATATAAAAAAAACAATAACATACCTGTAACTCCTTCTCCTTATTCCTCATCCGATCTTCAGCGTTCAAACTCAAACTGACCGGAGTTATGTGCCTGAAGCTTTCCTTCTCGCTCACTCTCGACGTCGACAATAAAACATTGATATCCTTCAGAAACGGACACAATTCGAACAAAATCGATTCATCGATCACAAAATCGAATAAATCATTCGTTAATGACATATCGATATTGTATTTCTCGTAGAACATCTCTTGGGGGAAATGCGGCAAATCGAACAACCAGCCCAAAATCGATTTTATATATATTATTGTAATTTTTTTGTTATCTGTTATTTTTAATTTATTCTCGTATATATTAAATATTATGCTGAGCAAGTTTTGATAATATTTAAGTCTAAGCGTTGTATAATCTAGCATAGACAAATAATGCACGATCCATGGCAAAGTTATTGTTACTCTATTATTGTCTATGGAAGCTAACAGCAGTCCTTTTATGTCTATAGTAGGTTGACTCTGAAAAAAAAACACAAATCTTCAAAATTGCACACCCATCCAAACACTACTTCACTTTCTCTATACAACAACCCTTTTTGATTTTTGGTTCCCGACGTTTCGAATGCTTTACAGCGATCATGGTCAGTCTCTCCTGATTGTAGACGTCTCAAAAATTATTATATAACTATTACACACGACATCCACCCACTTTAATAATATATAGTTCTAATAGATAGCATTCGAAACATCGAAAAAAAAACGTCAAAAAAATCCAAAAAAAAGATCTATATAAAAAGTCAAATATTCGGGTCAAATGTCAAATCTAAGAAAATATTAAATTTCCTCTTTAGCTTGGGAGTAGTACATTTTGTAGCTTATAAAAAAAACCATTTTTTTAGAAATATAACAAAATTTTTACTCAACATTTTGAGGTGGCCCACTGGTTCTTTTTTTTGCTTTTTTAATTTTTATATACATAATATGTTTGTTACTTACATAATCTCTTAAAGCGATATTATTTTCTAGAACCTTCTCCTTGGGGGCTGACAATATTTCCTTTTGATTATTCACACTGGAGATCCCTGTCTTTAGTAACACATCCAGAGGTATCTGGGCGTATGGCAGGGAAGTGAGATAGCCGAGAAATTTTGACAGGAGCATTAATTTCTTAGAAAGTTGTAAAAACTCTTTGGACATGTCCGCTCCGTTTGCTGAAAAAAAAACTGTTATTATTATATAATCAATTTTTATCTGTCTGTTTTAAATTTATACCACAGAAAAATATATGTATATGTTTGTATGTATGTACTGCCTCGATGGTGTAGTGGCTAGCATGTACGGCTGCACACCCGGAGGTCCTGGGTTCGAGTCCCGGGTCGGGTCAACTTTAGTTATTGAGTCTTTCTGTATACTAAGCCTCAGTTACAGCCCGGAGTTGGGAAGTTGGCGGTGTGTCACCTCCGTGCCTCGGAGAGCACGTAAAGCCGTCGGTCCTGCGCCTTAACTCTCACCGGTCGTGTCTCGCGTCGTCCCACCGGAGTATGAGAGTGACAGGAATAGAGAGTGCACGTTGTGTCTGCGCGTACACTTGTGCACTATAATATCTCCTGCGCAGTTGGCTAGTCTCTATGAGATTGGCCGCCGTGGCCGGAATCGGTCAAGAGAACATCATGAATGTATGTATGTGTGTATAAATATAAGATTTAGTTGATATATTTTAATATTAAGTTTATACCATTTAATACTATACTGTACCTACACCGCAATAAATTAAAACGTTTAGTATAGATTACTCAGAGATGAGATATTTTCCCGCAGTAAAAAGTATCCTATATGTTGACCAGGATAACCAGCTATCATCAGACCAAATATCATCAAAATCTGTTCAGTAATTTCCTCGTGATGCGCATTGTCAAACAGACAGTCAGACGGAAATTCTTAAAACTATATTCGGCCTCTGTATCAATAATAATGTCTATTTCAATAGGATTTTCCAAAAAATATTTAATGTACAGATTCAACTCAGTTATAATTTTATTTTATGTATAGAATATGTAAAGGTGTATGAATAATTTTTTTAAGGTAAATTATACTATAAAATGGCAACACTGATAGGTAATACAGATAAAAAAGAGGTAAAACCTCACAGGATTCATTCCCGACAGGCGTAGAATCCAAAGCAATGATCTCTGACGCGAGCGCATCTCTAAGATGCACTCTAAAACTTTCATTCTCTGCATACATTATAAATTCTCTGCAAAATAAAAAGAAAACATTATAAATCGTTTTATTGATTTTGTATTGTATTGTATTATAAGTACTCTGGCTACGAAAAATTAAAAAAAGTAAATGATTATTAATATAGCCTAAAATTAAATACAACATTATTATTAAGAAAAATAAAAAATATATGTACATATTTAAAATGAAAATAACTAATCATAAAATTATTTTTTATTTAATCTTTCCCATACTAAAACTTTAACTTCTAACAGCTCTCTAAGTTAAACTACTAACATATTATTTTTACATAGTATAATTGAATTAGTTTTTTTTGTTTTTTTTTTTCTATTTTTTAGGTGGAGGTATAATATTAAAATCCTTCTATTTAATACTGTCAATCCAGTCTCTAAGTGGAATAACTCAAAATATCACCGGCCAATCTCGAACGTGACTCCTTCATTCAATGTGACATTGGCGAAATAATTTGTGCTCAACTGACACGCATTAAAACCATTAAAATAAAGAACTGAACAGGGGCGGTTAAAAGATTTGCCAAAAGATGGCGCTGTTTCTATAATATTATATATACAAAAAAAATGGACTTACTTATAAAACATTTGTTTGTCGTTAAAATGCGGCAGTCGATGCGACTCAGCGGCAGACGGACAGGTCAGTCTTCTTTGTAACTTACTTAGCTTCGATTCCTGTTGAACGTATTAAACTATTATAAATGCGAAAGATTATACGTGTCTATATATTATGATACTTTTTGACGTGAAACATCTTTTAAAATCACACCGACTCATACGGGTATCTAGGTCAGAAATGTTTACCGTAACGAAGTAGGTTGCATTAGGTTACCATAGTAACCGTTGTTATTATCTGACAAATGATATATGTATATGGTATTTTTTCAGTTGCTATCTTCAAAGAAAATTTTTCTTATTTGTTTTTAAATATGCAAAATATTTTTAAAGAGAAAAACACTAAAAACGACTCGCTGAAATAGACGTTTCACATTAAACCAACTGCGGTGTGCCGGGACACGTCAGCCACATCCGATCTTTTTTTTATTTAAATGAAATTTGGTACAAATCTTCAGCCTATTTCTCGTTACTGTGATACATTGTCACTTATTGCTAATATTTTTTTGTTCTTTTAACTGCTATCTATCCATTTATATGGATTATGTAGTACGCCACGACTTTAATAAAAAATCGAAATGGCGCCCGTATGCTAATGTTAGCTCTCATAGAAAAATGTTCAAACCACTTTCAGATAAACATCAATAACAAATCTAATAACGCCATCTATCGACATTTATAGATACTAATAAAAATATTTTGTCCCGCTGAGTTACTTTCGCCAGTTCTTCTAAGGATTGAGGTTTTTCTTTACCAACTAGTGATAGAATTGTGACATATAATAAAAATTTAAATAATTTAATCCATACTAATAATATAAAGGACTAAAATGTGTAAGTTTGTATGTAGGTGGTAATCTCTGAAACTACTGATACAATTCCGAAGTCTCTTTCACTAATAGGAAGCCACATTACTATTAGGCTATTTTTTATCCCATAAAAATATTAGTGTCAGAAATAACATTGATCGAAACCGAAAAACTGACCAATGAGTTACATTATCAGCATTACTGTTAGGCATCTATGTAAATTTAACAAATAAAAGTATTTCAAACAAAACTAATGGAAATAGCCATATTCAAATATAAAACTTATAAAAAAATAGAATTAATATTAACAAATATCATTAGTGGTACCATTTTGGCATTTTTGAAATCATTTTGTAAATTTGTAGGTAGTCAGTCTTTAACAACAAAATAATACCTTTTGAGACGTCTAAACACTTAGTCTCTCGTGACCACGATTGCTGTAAAGCATTCGAAACATCGGGTACCAAAAATCAAAATAAATCCGAAAAGATAGTTTCATTTAAAATGTCAAATATTCGCCTAAATCTAAGAAAGTATTATATAAAATTATCTAAATCGAACCTGCACTTACCTGTTCATTGGGCGGTAAAGTTTCCAACAACATGTGAGTGAACAGAGTGGATAGGTGTGCATAGTTGGCCGCACTCGCTCCACTCGATAACAACGCCTTTATCCTCGCTCTGAGGGTCGAGCGGGATAGAGTCGTGTGGGTATCCTGATACCATCTGGAAAGATTATTTATTGAAAAAAAAATGTTGTCCGTAACGGGACGCCCGACAGATGTGAAACATCTATGTTAATATTAGAATTAAAATAAAGAGAAGTAAAGAAAAAATGGAGTTTCGTTAATAAAATCAATTTATTTTCCTTATTATTTTAATAAATAAAAAATAAATAGAATAGAAAATTTGTAAGTATTATTAATCGAGACTGTTTTACAATGGAGCGTATAATGTATATAGTATACGCGCGCGCGCACACTACGGAGTTGAGAGCGGTGGCGTAGAAAGGGCATGATGGCATGAAGCCGTAGATAGCGTCACGCCGCCGTTTGCTGTCACACCACTAGTCGGTTTTACAGCTAAGGCGCACCAACAGATGTTTCACATCAAAAGTAAAATAATCCTGTACAGCGCCATCTATTATTAAATACTTTAATTATGCTAACAATTGAACTTATTATACTTTAAAGTAGAAATGTGTATATTTAAATCTAAACTAGCTAAGTTTCATTTAAAATCCATTATGACAATTTGTAGTAATAACAAGATACAATAAATACAAAAAAATTAATACAAACAAGTTATCAAAAAGTCAGACTCACCTCAAAATCTCATAAAACATGTCCCTTTGCTTTTTAAAGTTTTGGAAGCTTAAGACGGACGGAAAATTTTCCACGTTATCTGTTTCATGGTTGAAACACACCATGCCGTTGGAACAACGGCCATCACTGTTCTTCCTTTCACTATTGGACTCAGCCTCACACTTTAATCCGTAAGAATTTAGCAAAAACTTAGCTAAATCCGGATAAAAACTCCTAACTTTTTTATTTTCCCCTAGAATTTTTAAGGAATTCTTATCCAAAATCACTTCTAAGATCCCACGTTGGCTCCATAAAGCTTTAACAGCGAAATATGTACTGTTATGTATTAGCTTCAAAATATTCTCCCATACATTTTCTTGTAACAGAGCTTCAAAATTGTTAAAATCGTCTTCTATTTGTTTTGACAGTAAAATTGTAATTAGATAGTATATTTCGGTATTCACACTCAAAATTAGATTGTTTTTCAATAAAATATCATAAATGTTGATTAAAATATCGATCTTTTCACTAAAAACTACCTTCGTGACATCTGCTTCTACGCAATTCTGATTTTTGTCTTCTCTTTGCAATATTTTAATCTGTGGCGCTGTCACTTTAGGAGATATTGTTGTGTTCAAAATGTTAAATTTTTCCAGTAATTTGTGTCGGTCTTGCTTTAGGATATTTCTTTCTACTTCTAGGCTGTTTGAGGTTTCATTTGGCTGTACCTTCGGTTTGAAAGCCAAATTCTCTTCCAAAGCCAACGCTGGCTGCTGAAACGCCTCAGGTGTGAAACTGTTTAGAGAATAACTCTTTTTACTTTTATCTATATTCGTAGGTTTAATTCTACGTTTTTCAGATTTCAAAGAACTAGATTTTCTCGCACCGATTTCTGGAAAAATTTCTGAATTGCTTATATCTAATTCCATCTTGGTTTCGCTGTCGTCATGCGATGTGTTTTTCGAGCGTTTTTTCTTAGAGCTTTTTGGTTGAACGTTGATTAAATAATCCGCTAAACTGATACTTTTATCTGAAGACCTAGAATGTCGACTTAGCCTTGGCGTATCACACCTTTCAAACTCCTTAAAAGACCTACACTGTGGAGTTACAGGACTTGCAGGTGAATTTGGGTAATTGTTGAATCCATTCTTCATGGGCGTACTAGATATGACAATCCTGTCAACTCCGACACTAATCCTCGATTCGTCAGATGAGAGAGACTGATTTTCCTTCTTCTCTTCAGGAAAGAGTTTCGTTTTGACTCTCCTTCCCTGCCTTTTCCTATCTCTATTTGGGGATTCTTGTGTTTTTCTGTCAGATTTGACAGTGAGACTGTCATGAGACTTTTCATTGTCACAAGTCGGATCACTGATGGAACGATGGTGCTTTCTACCAAAAGTCTTCTCTGGAGTGCCTTGATGCTGGGGTATTGGTAAGGCATTGCTGTTTGTCTGTAAAACGCTGAAAGAGAAAACAGTAAAATGGTATATGTAATGAATAGTAATATATTTAGTTGTCGTTTAAATGATTCCTTATCACACATACACACAACTCACCAAATCCAAGAATTTTACTACTTTTAAACTTTTTTTATTTTTTGTAGTTTTTATTTATATTTTTGGTACACGAAATTTAGTCATGGTCAGTCAAAATTAAGCCGCGATAAAATCCGGAAAAATAATTTTATTTAAAAAATCATCCTTTTTTGGTTTTTTGGATTGATGAGCTCACGTGCGACAAAACACTTTATTGCAAATGTCAAACATTCACGTAAAACTAAGAAAAAACCATGATGAAAAATTATTATGTAAAATATGTACTTTTAAAACGATCCATTGCATTTCCTTTTGTTTTTCTTTTCTATTTTTCTTCAAAAATGTTAAAATAATTATATATACTTCTCAAAAACTTTTAACGAAACTTTTTTGAAGAAATGTTGTAGTTTTTGATATAAGGGTAATTTTGAATACACTTAGGTACCATGAAATAATTTTGTTTTTCATATAACCCTTGACAAATATTATAAAACTAGCATTATCTAACTAGCATACTAGAAAATCTTATTGAAATAGACTTTATTATCGATACAGAGGCCGAATCTATAGTTTTTAGAATTTTTGTCTGTCTGTTACTGCATCACAGAAAAACCACTGGAGGGATTTTGATGAAATTTAGTATGGTGATAGCTGGTTATCCGGGTCAGCATATAGGATACTTTTTACCGCGGGAAAATGACTCATTTCTAAGAAAAAATACAAAAACTGTAATGTAAGAGTATACTAATATGTAAAACCTAAGAATTTGGTTTTGGTCATCAAGCGGGCGGAGCCGCGGGCAAAGCTAATACTGTATATAACTTCATATGCATTTAGTAAAGTGCTTTAATTTCAACATTACAAACAGACACTTCAATTTTATTTATCTGCATCTACGTGACTATTTGGTCATCTATATCAGCTTCAAATATATTTAGACCAAAAACAAAAAGCAAATTTCATAACATAAAATAGCACATTTTAGATTTAAATTAAAAATGAATTACATGGCAGATAAACAAAAAATAACTTATTTTTTAAATACTAAATAGATTATTTGATATAAATATATATGTACCATATGGATAATGTTTATTTTACTTATCTAAATGTTATCACTTATTGCAGCTGTCAACATAAGATAAAAATAAACAAGTACATTCTACTTCAGTTTATTTTTCAACTAGGATTATTATCATATTGGTTTGTAATATTAGGAAATAAGTAAATTATGTGAAATTAAATAATATAAGTGACAACAAAATTGATTTTGATTTATAATTTATAAAATTACAACAATAACTTCGATGATCTTTTGCACACTAGATATATATTTTTGAGCATGTTTAGTACAATAACAATATAAACAATAGTAAATAAAACATGACATACCTGTCAGTCTGATTTCTAAGATATGATAAAAAATAAGCCACAAATTCACGTCTGTTTGAACAAAATAATATACAGTCTTCTGGTGCACCCTGAAATTTTTAAATAAAATATAATGAACAAACACTTTTAAATTATTCTATTTATTTTTTCTAGGTTATGTACCTCAATTGACTCGTTGTTTAGCCATTTAGATAGGAAATTCCAGTCTAGTTTTCCTGAAAGAGCACTTTCAATTATTGTTTCAGGCATTTTAGCTACATAAAAATAGAAAAATTTGCGATCGATCAAGGGAGCTGCGCGCTAAATCTACTTTTACCGCCATGACATTGACACGACTAATAATTTTATAATCTGCATTCTGCATTGTGTACTGTCACCAGTTCAAAAATATGATCTTGATCTATAATCAAACGAATATAAAAATAATATTTTTGTTATTGATAATTGATTGATATAATAGTCATTTTGTATAAACTTATAATTTTAAGCTATTTTGATTTAATTATCCAGAAAATAATAATTATTATAATAATCTTTTAAATGTCACTTATATTAAGACACAACGTACGTAATCTGTGATCAATACTAAACATAGGTTTTGTGTACGTAAATAATATTATTGAAAAACATGAAATAATGTCGGAAGCGTTAAATTTAAAAAATATTTGTCGCTGTTGTCATACGGAGGGTTCCTTCAAACAACTAAATGATTCATATTTACATAACGGACAGCAAAAAATCTATTCAGATATGTTGAATCAAACATTTAATTTAGAAGTGAGCTAAGTTCCATATTGAGTTTATACTATTAATTCCCTACTATTAATAAGCTTTAAGCGGCCGTTCTTTATTGATATTTTTATATGTACTTCATTCTTCATGTCATGATTCAAGTTAATTATGCCTTTTTGTTAACTTCAGTAAGACTTCTAAAATTGTAAATGTTTTTATTTTCTTCATTATATTTACTTAATATATTATATCAAAAACAAAATATACTTACTTCTTACATAGCCATATAACTAAATCAATTGCATTATATATTTTAGATAAAACCAGATCCTGACTTATCATACTCTATATGTGAAATATGCATTCCAAGATTATGTGATGCATATATCTTCCGTCATCAAATTTTGTCATGCGAACAACTGTTTTATCAATACTGTACACAATTAAAAGGTAACACTGGCAACATTTTATAACTTAACTCACTAGACATTATTTGGTTTTGATACACATTTAATTTGAAGAATTATATTATTTTACATACTAAAATGTCTTAAACATTCATAAACATTTATTATTGGCTTGGAAACTTGCTAAACTTGAAAACTTACTCATAATAATAACAATGGCTTGACCAAATATTTCTATTTGGTTTCTATAATCACCGTCACCATGTACTCTTAGTTGTTATTATATAGTAATAATAATCATAATTTTAAAAAGTGTCTACTGTATTTTAATTCTTTAATAAGTAATTGTAATATATAATTGTTACTTAAAAACAAATTATTTGTTTAAATATCTTACTAATCTTCCTCATGTCTCCTCGATTCTTTGTAACATTGGCACAATTTAATTAAAAATTATTATTTTAAAATGTAATATAATATTCTATTAAGTAAACCAATTATTCTCATGTTAGACATTTTTGATGTGAAACATCTATTGTCGCGTCTTGGCAGTAAAACCGACTCGTGGTGTGACGGCAAACGGCGGCGTAACGCTGTCATGTCATTACGCCCCTTCTACGCCACCGCTTTTAATTCCTTTGTGTGTGCGCACGCGCGCGCGTATACTATACACGCTCTATTGTAAAACAATCTCTATTAAAAATCTTACATATTTTCTATTTTATTATATATATATATATATATATATATATATATATATATATACATATATATATATATATATATATATATATATATATATTCTGTAATTACTATTATAATTAAAATAATAGTAGAAACAAATTGATTTTATTAACGAAACTCTACTTTTTCTTTATTTTACTCCATTTTTTGTTATAGGTTTTTATTAATAACTATGAATATGAAAATGATTAACATAGATGTTTCACATCTGCCGAGCATTCCGTCATGGGAAACTTTTTTAATTACAATTTTGTTTATTTAAAACATAATAATTTTATAACTTTAGTGTAACACATTATAATTTATAATCTTATAAGACAATTTCTTTTTTAGGAATAGAATTCAGTTACAAAGGTGTAAAAGATGAAGTTGAAGAAACACTAGATGGTGAGATTTTTTTTAGATCTATTATATGTTAGTTGATATCTAAAAACATAGATACACATTTCTTAACAAATATTTCTTCGAAAGAGGCGTCGACATGTGACAAACAGTGTGTTAAGTCAAACCAAAGAATAAAATTTTAAAATCGATAGTTCTAATTGTCTAAACACAAATTCGAACTTACGCACAGCAAATAAAGTACTTTTTTAAACGAAACAAAGTTCGTTTTAATTTTGTCATCTGAAAGCAATGAACAAAAGAGATTTGTAAAAAGCGCAATTCAATTTCGAATTGTGCGCTTCTTTTTGAGGACACTTGTGTATCTAGCATGTACGGCTGCACACCCGGAGGTCCTGGGTTCGAGTCCCGGGTCGGGCCAAGTTTAGTTATTGAGACTTTCTGTATAGTAAGTGTCAGTAACAGCCCGGAGTTGGGAAGTTGGCGGTGTTTCACCCCCGTGCCTCGGAGAGCACGTAAAGCCGTCGGTCCTGCGCCGACACTCTCACCGGTCGTGTCTCGCGTCGTCCCACCGGAGTATGAGAGTGATAGGAATAGAGAGTGCACGTTGTGTCTGCGCGTACACTTGAGCACTATAATATCTCCTGCGCAGTTGGCTAATCTCAATGAGATTGGCCGCCGTAGCCGGAATCGGCTAGGAGAACATCATCATCATCATCTATTATGTTAGTAGGAATCTTTTGTATTTTTTTTTAATTAAGTTTTTTTTTCAGATTTAAAAAAAGAATCTTTCAATCAAGATGAAAATAGCTGTGATATAAAATATGATGAAGGTAAGAACAAATTAGACTTATTAAAAATACTAGCATTTACGTTATGACTAAAAATTCTAAATGTCTTAAATTATTACCACTCAGGTATAACACATTTATGAAAAATAAATAATCATTAAAAAATTTTTTAATACATTTGTTCTCTCACAAAGAAAAGTCCCTGCTCACTGTTGATAAAAAAAGCTCATAATAAAATTATTGCAAATTATTGTTTGAAGACAGGTTTGGCTCAGTTTGTAGTTATCCTACTAGCTGTGCCAGCGGTCGCGGGGTCGAGTCCCGTTAGGGGCACTCATTTGTGTGATGAGCACAAATGTTTGTTCTCTAGTCTTGGTTGTTTATATTTATAATATGTAGATATGTATTTAAAGTTATATATGTGTAGTGTATCCATTATCTGGTATCCGTAACACACGCCTCGTAGCTTACCATGGAACTAGATGGCGCTGTATGTTAATGTTCCAACATATTTGAAATTTAATTTAATATTCCCTAAATAAAAAAATATAAAAAAAAATATGCTCGTCACTAGATGGCGCTGTGCATATTTTTTTACGCTTTACCAATAGATCACTATTAAAATTTAAGTTTCGACAATATTTTGAGATTGTATTCAGCCCTTTTTAACGTCCCACTGCTGGGGGTGGGCCTCCCTTCAATACGAGGGGGATCAGGCTATAGTCCACCACGCTGGCCAAGTGCGGGTTGGCGGACTACAGATGTCTTTCGAAAACTTACTAGGTTCTCTTAAACATGCAGGTTTCCTCACGATGTTTTCCTTCATCGTCAGACAGTCATAATTATGTTGGAAATGATTAGCACATGAAATTATCAGAGAGTCCTGACCCGGGCTTTGAACCCGTTTCACTCGATTTCTCCAGCGAGCGAGTTACCACTGGACTACCACTACACAACTCATTGTTTAAAAATTACATATTATAATTAAATCGTAGTGTTGAATAATACAAGAGTTTTCTTATTTACAGCTTCGATCAGTGACTCCGGAGATATTGACGATCAGCCCCTTTCAACTTTGAGGAGCCAACCTGAGCAGAATGACTGGATGTTGCCAAATATAGGTAAATCTCAGTACTAATATCTATAAAAATAAACGGCCTCGGTGATCTAATGGCTGGCATGAACGGTTGCTCATACGGAGGACTTGCGTTCGGGTCCCGGGTCGTGTCAAGTTTAAATATTGAGGTTTTTCTGTTAATTTTAAACAAAGCTGTCTTTTCGAATTCTTTTGCGGATTTATTTCGATTTTTTAAATAGATTTTTCTTTAAAACTATTTAATTTTTTTTTCAGAAGACGCGAAAGTGACGACAGCTAAAATAAAAAAATTTAGCTGTAACGTATGCGATAAGAAGTTTTCATACAACGGCTCGTTGGAAGTGCACATGCGAGTGCACACTGGAGAGAAAACCTACTTGTGTCACATATGCAACAGCAAATATAGTTTGAACAAGGAACTAATAAAGCATATAACAGCAAAACATAATCAAAACGGGTCGTTCCCCTGCACTTTTTGCACTAAAGTGTTTGAAAAGGCGCGATTTTTGAAAAACCATCTAACTACCCACTTTGGGGGTGAAAAATTTAAATGTATTCATTGCGATAAAGAGTTTCAAAGGAAAAAGGGGTTGAAGGAACATTTGAAAATACACACAGGGGAGAGAAATTTCACTTGTAACATATGTAGCAAGTCGTTCGGACATAACCAAACTTTAAAATCTCATATATTGACTCATACGGGTGAAAGGCCGTACGTATGTGATGTCTGTGGAAGGAGATTTCCTCAAAGAACTCATTTGAAAAGACACATATATATAATACACACCGGTGTCAAACCGTACGTTTGTAAAATATGCAATAAACAGTTCTCAAGCAAGAGTTATCTTTCAATACACCAAAGGCAGCACACTGGGGAACGACCGTACACTTGTGACGTCTGCAAAAAGGATTTCACAGCGTATACAACACTAAAAGTCCACATGAGGGTGCATACGGGATTAAAACCCTACATATGTTCGTTTTGTGACCGCCAATTCGCTCAAATGGCCAGTTTTAAATTACACGAACGGACGCACACTGGGGAGCGACCGTTTTCGTGTAAAGTGTGTAAAAAGGCGTTTTCTGATAATGGTTACTTGAAAATTCATATGAGGGTGCACACTGGGGAGAAACCGTTCAATTGTGAGATATGCAAACGCTCGTTTAGAGAGACTGGGCAGTTAAAACGACATATGCGTGTACATACTGGTGTTAAACCATACACTTGTAAAATATGTAATAAACAAATTGGGAATTTGTCTAAACACATGCGTGTACATTCGGACGAAAGGCCATTTAATTGTAATATATGCAACAAACAGTTCTCGATTAATGGGAATTTAAAACTTCATATGAGAGTGCACACTGGGGAGAGACCTTTTAGTTGTGAGATATGTAATAGCCATTTCACTCAAAGTAGCGGTTTAAAAAGACATAGATGTACCCATGGGAAGGGCGAGTGAACTTTTTTCTATTGAGCGTGCCATTTTTTTTTTTTCATACTAAAATTGATATAGTTGAAAGGGTTTATAAGGTTTTTTGCATCGGTCAAAAATACACTAGATTCACAATCAGTGACAAAAAATGTCCTCACCGAATGAGTGCTCTTTTGAACATTTGAGCGCGCTTTTAATTTTTTTTGTGACAACAACTTTAAGCATTGCAGTGGTAGCCTGTTGGTAACGCGCTTGCTTGGGAAACCGAGTGAAGCGGGTTCAAATCCCGGGTCTTGCATCTCTGATATTTTCATGTGCGAATCATTTCCAACATGATTACCATTTGTCTTAACGGTGAAGGAAAACATCATGAGGAAACCTTTATGTCTGAGAGAACCTAACAAGTTTTCGAAAGACGTGTGGGCTATAGCTTGTTCTCTCTTGTATTAAAAGGAGACCCACGCCCAGCAGTGGGACGTTAAAAGGGGGTGAATAAAATGGCTATGATATTTAAGATGATGAGAACGTCAGTGGTAATATCTTTCTGTGATTCTAAAATCCAATCCCACAACAACTGTACGATCAGTAATATTCGTCGCAAGAAAATCGAACCCGCGACCTCCATACTTAATTATTGTTGTAACGACTGATTTTAAAATAGTGAAATGTATTAATTGTGTTTTTATATATGTATCTCGGTTTTGACCGACTTCAAAAAAGGCATTTAGCCTTAGTGTTTTTTTTAGTATTATTTTATGGGTCATTTTTGATTAAAAATGTGAAAAGATATTTTTTTTATAATCGAGCTAAAACAGCGCCCTTTAAAAAAAAACACCGCTAAAGTTAGTAGTTTAGAATCCAGAAGTCTTGCAAATGATTCAATATTAAGTTTTCAACGTCTAACTTTTTTTAGCCACGATTATTATTTTTCCTGGATAAAAAGTAACCTACGTGCTATTCCAGACTATAATCTATTTCTGTGCCAAATTTCATCCAGATCCGTTCAGCCGTTCTGGCGAGAAAGTGTAACAAACATCCATACTCACAAACTTTCACATTTATAATATATGAGATTGGGATTATAGGATTTTATATAGTTACAGTCTGTATGTAAGTTTATTTGGTTTATGTTTTTTTTATTTATTTTATATGTGATATCTAGACTTAGAACATTTTTTTAATATGTACTTATAATTTTTTATAGCAGTGTTAAGATATGTAAATAAATGTTTAATAATTTTATTTTATTTTAATAATTAATTTAATGATATAATTTGTACTTAATTATAATTTTGTATAATTTATTTATTTATAGAAAGAAATGTATGAAATAAAATTAATATATTTAGAAAGGACTCTTATTTCTACCTTATTTTATTTAGCTTAAGCCAAAAATTTTACAGCTTATTTGATAATAGCGTCTCACATTCGCTCAGCTCAGGTTTGTCCTTGGTACGTTTTAACGTTTAGTATAGATTTCTCAGAAATGAGATATTTCCCCGCAGTAAAAAGTCCCTATATGTTGACCCGGATAACCAGTTATCTTCATACCCAATTTCATCGAAATCTGTCCAATGGTTTTCTCGTGATGCGTTTCTAGACAGACAGACAAAAATTATAAAAACTATAGATTCGGCCTCTGTATCCTGTATTGATATGAATATTTAATGTACAGATTCGACACAGAATTTTATTATATGTATAGTTTACTGTAAAGTTTCATGAAAATCTGTTAAGTACTTTTTGCGTGAAAGAGTAACAAACATCCAGACATCCTCACAAACTTTCGCATTTATAACAATAATAGAGTTATTTGTTACATCATCGTTTTGTTTTGCTATTTTATTTATTTTTGAGCAACTACATAGACTAACTAACGCATTGCCCTCATTTTTTGTGAGGCGTTTTCCTCATCATAATATGGCAGATCGTGATTTGAAAATTTTTACAATTACTATAATGTAATACAAGTAGGATATATACTTTCTTAGATTTACTCGAATATTTGACATTTTAAATAAAACAATCTTTTCGCGTTTTTTAGTTTTTCGTATTTATTTCCCGGGAACCAAAAATCTAAATAAATCATAATCAATCTCAATAAATCTCGAAAAATTCGAAAAGATAATTTTATTTAAAATATTAGTAGGATTTATAATTTTTGACGAAAATACGAAATTGTGTAATAACAACTGTGCCACTTAATAAATATTCAATTAATTATTATTAATTAAATAAATACATATATAATTAATCAGTTAAGAACTTTTAATGTTAATAATTATAGTTGTATCAATTTAAATATAGCAATAACAATAAATATTTAAATAAATATTAATTATAAATTAATTAATAATATGTATGTAATATTATCATGACCATAAATTATATAATTATTTAATTTATTTTCTAATAAAGCACTTTAACACCGTTGTTAAAGTTGCTTATACAAAAATAATAAAATTTTTTGTTTGTTTGTTTGTCGGAGTTCACTTCCCCCACTGCGACTCTACATACTTCACGTGAGAACCAAACCACAGCGCGATTCAGACTACCACTAACGCCATCTGTGTTCCGGTTTGTAATTATACACACGAGTGTCAGAACTAAACATGAAACCACATAATATGTAATGATTTAAATTAATAGGTTAAAGTAGTAAATAAATGTTAAGAAATAAGAATAGCTAAGGGATTTTATTAATAACAAAATAAATAAACTAATATTATGCTATTGCTCTTTTAGGAGGAAGATACGTGATGTTTAAACAATATAGAATGTAACTGTGTGGTAAAATCGAAAATAGTAGAATAAAACAAATCACGCTTGACGCTACTATTTTTAACTTTGACATTTTTAGAGGGCTCCGTTTATATAATAAATATAATATAATAAAATTGTAAACGACCCTTATATAAGAAGGATTTTTACATTATTTTTTTTATACTAAAAATAACACTAAGGAATATCTGTAAATGTCGTTTTCATGTACATATGTTTATACTTTTTTATTAGCGATATCTATTGTAGAATAAACTCGTGGTAGTTTGAAGCTAGATCACTGATTTAGCAACAAAGTCATAAATAAATTGGTCTATTTTGTAACTATATACTATGTATAGGATACTTTTTAATGTGGGAAATTATCTCATCCCTGAGAAATTTATACTAAACGTTAAAACGTTACTAGAGACGAACCTCTGCGCAAGGGTGAGTCGCTAGTAATTAAATATATTAGAATCTGTTGAGGACTTTTTTATCAATTAAAGTATTTATCAACTAAGATATTACAATAAATAATAATATTCCACCAAGAACATTTTGATGTAAAATTTTGCCAAGACGAGACCATATGCACTGTCAAAAAGTTCTCAGATTTTATGTAGAGCCCTGACTTCACAAACTCTACACCTTATCTATACATATAATAAAATTGTAACTAAGCCGAATCTGTACATTAAATATTTTTTGGAAAATCTTATTGAAATAAACATTATTATCAATACAGAGGCCGAATCTATACTTTTTAGAATTTTTGTCTATCTGTCGGTCTGTTACCGCGTTACAAAAAAACCACTGGAGAGATTTTGATGAAATTTGGTATGATGATAGCTGGTTATTCGGGTCAGCATATAGGATACTTTTTACCGCGGGAAAATGACTAATTTCTGAGAAAAAACACAAAAACTGCAATGTAAGAGTATACTAATTATATAAAACCTAAGAATTTGGTTATTGGTCATCTGAACGCGGGAGGAGCCGCGGGCAATACTAGTTGCTTATAAAATTAATAATAATTTTTAATACAATCAAATATCATCATCATCATATTATAAAGCACTTTAACTAGTTAAAGTTACTTCTTCAAAAATTTGTAAATCTATCTATGTAGATGTATTTTGTCAAGTGTTGTTAGATGCCGACATTACATTTATGTACAAGTGAGAACTAAGCGATAGCGCGATCCAGACTACTGCTAACGCCATCTGTGTTCCGGTTTGTAAATCACTCGTACTAAGAATATTATATACCTAATATTAAAGTACACAGCACCATCTAGTTCCATGATAAGCTACGAGGCTTGTGTTATGGGTCACACAAATGAATGCCTCTAGCGGGACTCTAACCCTGACCGCTAGCACAGCAAGTAGGGTCACTACAAACTGAGCCAAACGCTACGTTTATCCATTTCCCTTTATTTTTTCCATGTGATTTGATGGCAAGCAGTCCGGCTTCATTCTTATTTTACCAACAGAATTGTTTATACTGTACTGAATGTAATTTTCCATATCATTAAGTAGCTGTAAAGTGTTTGTTTAAACAATATGTAAATCAACTCTATTTATTTCAATGATTTACGAGTATAGGAGGTTAGGTTTAGTTTTTTCTGGAAGGTAAAAAGTTTAGGTGCTTTAGCCCATCAGTTTTTGTCTTTTGGGAACAAATAATATTAATTTTCTTTGCATTCTGGTACTGTACAATTTGTCATTTTAATTAAATTTAAATAAAATGAGAAGAATTCTATCCACAATATAGAGCTTTACAATATACTGAGGGCTATAGTGACCGCGACATCTGGCGGAAGAAAAAAGCAAATTCTTCCCCATTAAAGTTTGTGTCAAATAAAAAAAAAGGATGAGAGGTATATTCTGGTTTCGAATTATATTATAGTTTAGGAGTAAAAAATAATGTTTTTAAATGAAAATTTCGTAATTTTACTGATTCATGAAAAATCAGCCAATAAATGAGTTTGTACAGCGTATTCATAGATGGCGCTGTTTAGTTTTATGAGTACAATAGCTACTAAGTAATAATGTTAAAAGTACCTAACAGTTTGTTTTAATTAATGCAATATGAATTAAATTAACATATGAAAATTCATATGTTTTTTAGTTGAAAAGTAGTTATTTACATTTATTAAAGTATGTAATTAATAATTATCCTACATAATAATCAAATCTTTTTAACTAGATACATATCCCCACTGAGCCCGGGTGCTAGATGCCTAACAATATGTCGCTCTGTGTACTAAAGGGCTTGTCCAAAAGTGGTTTTTCTATTCACCTAATATATAGATAAGTGTTATGTATTTGGATAGACCCCACAAAAACTAGCTTGCCTGAATAAATCACAAATTTAAATCCCATGCAATTTTCAGAAAAAAACGATATTAATATTAGTGTGAATTGATACTTAAAATGAACAATCTTAGTGGTTACAAGTCTAATAATTCCATTCAATTATTTTATTTCGTGGCTTCTAAGAGTGCTAGTTGGGCAAATTTACTTCCCCAATGTCACGTAGCAAGAATAATGCGAACGTGACATATAATAGTAAAAAAAATGACATTTGACATGCCTGAACTGTCATTGGTGTTCAAGAATTATACTGGTTAAAAAATGTGGGGAAAAAACCAACGAACAAACAAAAAGAGGACCTCCTTTTATCCGTTCTCCATCCATAATCAACTTAATAAATATATTTTTTATACAATGTTTTAAAACTTCAAAAAGTAGGGTGGATGAATAGGATTTTTCAATAATACACAAAATATGACACAAAACGTTTAATATTTTCAATAATACACAAAGATTAAGTACGAACAAGCGAATGCAAAATCCTTACACTACTTAGAACGTGGCAGTCTAACATTAAGGAGTAAAACGTGACAAGTTAAAGCAAGTTTCATAGAAAAGAGCAGATGTATTATTGACCGACTTCAAAAAATGGGGGTACCTTAATGTAGCTGCATATTTTTTGTGTATATAATACCAATTGTGTGATCTAAATAAAAAAAACCACCCGTAAAGATGGAATAATAACTTTTAAGTGTAATATTTTTTAGTAAAATGTAATATTGTAATAATTTTTTTTAATTAAAATAAGAAAAAAAATTCAGTTAAAAAAAAATCCTAACAGTATATACCGAAAAATCAAAATATTACAGTACCTTATAATGGCAATTTTTCAGTTAAACATCAGTATTTTTGTCCAAATTGGATGTAATTATTTTTTTTTTAATATTTTAAAAATATATAAAAAATTTAAGTCTCTTTGCTCCACCTTGCCAACATCTTATAATTACAAATATTTTACTGTATGATTATTTATATATAAACTCTAAACTAATCTTAGTTACAATGTGCGTAATTAAAGCACCTGAAATAAAAGTAAAAATATAACTAAATGTGTTGTTTTAAATAAACATACGGACAGTATGTAATTTATATATACATAATTATGTATATATGGTAACATTACTATAAAATTGTATCGCTTAGACATAAATCTTAAAGACAAATGTACCAACCGACAAAATGAAAAAAATATTACAATTGATATTTTATAATACAAATATTTATCATGTTCATATTTATTAAAATATAAAAAAAATACATAATTGTAAAAATATTTTTAGTATTTTGTATAAATGAAAAATCTCAAATACAACGTGTAATTTCAAAGACGATTCAAATAAACTCTTTAAAAAATAAAAATAAATAAATAATAAAGGTTAATGAATTTACTAAGAAAGAAAAATGTATAGAAAATTGTATTTTGTGGTTTGGTACATTTCACCGACGGAACACTACATATGTTAGATTTGTCAAAATATCATTACTACATAAAAAAAAAACATAAGGACGGATGAAAATTTAAAGACACTTCAATATGTTTACTGTACATTGATTCGTGTTATTTTAAAATGGGTAAATAGGTTCGATATCTGTGTGGAGTAAAATATTTTCTTTTTTGTGAAAATCCCTATTATTTTTTAATTTGATAATAAAAAAAAATGTTTGTTTGTCAGTCTAGCAGTAACAAAGCGATGTTACTTTTTTCATATATAATCTACTTTATTTAAAATACATATATCAAATTCGTATCTGTAGTAAAAAGTACAAAAGAGTAAAGATAGGTTATAGAAATGTACTACTATGTACTAGAAATAATCCGAAATTTTTTCAATGTACAGTACACAAAAAAGTTTTGTACCTTAGAAATAACAAAACAGTGAATCTAACGCGACTCCTTTTACAAATAAGCCTCGAAAAACCCTGTTCTTACTAAAAAATACTTAATAATAACTAAAATACACATTTGTAAATAAATTTGTTTGTTTGTCCGTTTCCTATATATGTAAGTCAGTGGACGGACGTTTCATACACATACATACATACATACGTACCATGTTATATATTAATAATTATGGATAATTTAAAATAAGTCAGTGCTATATAAAAATATCAACATCTATATAAAGCACACTTTTACAACTATTTTTAGAACAAAGTCGTTTTTTTTATAATTGAATTGAATATTTCTGATCTTTCTAGTTGAATTAATAAAAATCTTTTTTAGAAAAAAATGTTTTTTTCTTCATATAATTGCATTTTTAACCGACTTTGTTTTAAGTATATTAATTATAAAATAACTTACCTAAGAGGGAGTAAATGAGATTACTTGGTGATATCTTCATAATTTCAATAGACAATTATTATTATTTACTTTTCACAAACTAACACAATTCTTTGCCATATAAATTGGCTTTCGATGAGCCCTCTCCGAGAATCAAACCCGCGTATAATGTCTTCCGTTTCTATTAAAATTACTTATAGCTATTTCTAGCGAAAACCATAAATACTTGTTATTAGGTATATTTTTCGGTGGATCCAATTCATTTTTTTTAATTTGTGAATAATATCTCTTCTAATAAATAAATTAAATTTTAATTTAGAAATTGTAAATTATATTATATTATTTAATTAAAACTAACTATTATTCCAATTTCATAATATCTGTTTCGTTAAAAGTCATTTTTATGTTAAAACAATGTAATAATCATATTCATAATTTTCATTAAAAATATTTTGTGATTTTTGTTAAAAATATTGGAAAAATTTTCATTTCTTTAATGTAAATATTTTTTTTTATCGATACTAAATATTTTGTCTAATATATTACTAAAGTAATAATACTTGAAATGAATTACACCTTGATCTCATCTTCTTGAAGTGGTTACAATACAATAAAACCAAAAAAAAACAATGAGATTACAATTTTTCCAAGAACTTTTTTTGTACAATTTTCTAATATTTTTTTTTATTGTATTACTTAAGTAACATTATTACTCCTTACTCTCCTTTACTTCAGAGGGTTGGTCTGTGTACACTATTTCTGCATATTCAGTGGATGGGGGAGGGGGTTTTTCTGCATTTTGTTCCCCCAGCGCGAGCTCAGCGTAGACCACCCCCTTTTTTTCTTCTGCTACATTCTGTTAATGGTATAGAAATGGTTATAATTCTACCTACGATTTGACTCAACTGGCTTAATGTACATGTAATAGATCTCTCTCAATAACACTTTTATGCGATATTTCTAAAAGTTTAATGTAAAAAAACTTATTAACTTTCTTTAAATTCATTAATGAACCTAAAAAAATATTTTAGTAAATTAGCAAAATGACGTAGAATGAAAAAGAAAACCATCGAGTAGGTATCATATAAAATTTATAATAAATATGAAAATTAATATTTTCTATGAAATTTGTCATATTCAGGGTACAGTGTACCTACACAATACCTTATCCTCGACGTCCTGCGCCTCGGTGGCCTGCACGCGGTCGCGGCCGCGGGGCAGCGCCGCCCGCACGCGCGCGCTCAACTGACTTACTGACTGACTCAGCCGCGACCTCTGCCCTGCTGCACTCTCGGTGTCGCTACTGACACACTCAAATACTTATTTATAATCATATTGGATGGTGCATGAGTGTTTTTAGTAAAATAAACGAGTGACATTCTTGATAAGTGCTTTAAAACGTTAAATAGTGTTTTTTTTAACTTCAATATCTACAGTATAAGCCATAAATAAAAAATACTAAATAATAATTTTTGTGTTCTACGTGACATTGGTTAAGTAATCTGTGTTCAACTGGCAAGCTTTAAAGCCTTTAACAAGAAAATTTAATGGAATAATTTTTGTTTTGATGAAAGAAATGTCCGTTTTAGTTTATTCTAGATTTTAATTCTTTTAGGCGGTATTTTTAGAAAATAGTGATAATCATTTAAAATATAATGCAAAAACTTGCTTGGTAATTTTCACATTTTATCTTAAGCCACGTATAAAAATAAAGTGCGCATTTCAAAAATATACCTATATACTTTATATAAATATATAATAAGTTGTACACGTTAAATATTTTAAAATATAGGTGCAATTTTATACATAATGTATAAAGCAAGTTTAGTAAAGATTAAGAGTTACGTTACAAAGAATGGTTAAATATAGACATACGTTCTAGGAGGTACGAGCCCGCTCTCTAAAAGCACGTTTTCCGCCGGTGTCCTTTAGAAAAATTGCCAAATTTACAAAGCGTTTAAAATTTCCAAATTTTATCTCTATATAAAACTTTTAGGTTTCTTATTTAGAATCTGTTTCAAATGATATGCTAATGTAAATAATGAAATTAAAAAAAATACATTCTAAACACTTTTTGGACATTTATTAACATGCCCCAAATCCCCCCCCCCCCGTCTCCCCTCCAATATATTAAAATTAACAAAAAGCCACCAAGTAAGTCCAATTTATAATTTATTTTTTAAAATAATATTAGTTTAAGTATCAAATATTCCCCATAGATTTAAGATTGCTTCATAAAAAGGGATATGTATAATGTATATAGTAATTACATAAAAAATTACACCCTAAATTTAAATATGACAAAAATCTGTTATTATTGAAAATTATTATTATTTTTATATATTAACTAATATTTTACCGTTTTGCAAAAGCTGAAGCCCCTATAAAAATAATATTTTTTTACTTACGATTCACCAGAGCTTTTAGTGTGATCACGAGTTCTTCCACCTGTAATGTTATTTGTAAAAAAAACAATTTAAAATATTCGAAGTGTATAATTATTTTATTTCTTCAAATAAAATATTTATTTATTGCGTAAATAAACAACACAATTTAAAAAAAAATAATAAAATAAATAAATGAAATGTTTTAATTGGTAATAAAATAATATTCGTAACGTGTTAATGGTTGATTGCTGTAAATATTTCAATACCAATTTAAAAAAAAATGTTTTATTTGCAGTGATATTCTGCATTTATTAAATATTTTATACTCAATGCTATAGAATTCATTAAAAAATTGTGTAAAAATATCATTAAATCTCATCTTCTACGTCATATGTATTTTATGATCGTTATGTTTCTTTTTGATGGGAAAAATTGTGTGAAAATAAAACAAAATGATATCTTATTTAATAAATACTTTATATCCATAATTCGTGATATTAGTTAATTTCAGCGGTTACTGTTACAATTTTATTTCTCTAACTAACATCGAAACGTTTTATTATATAAAGATTACAAATATGCATGGCTTTGAAAACAAATAAAAAAATTGTATTTTTTAACATTAAAAATTTTCAAAAATTTCCGTTGTGCAAAATGGCAGTGTTTTAATTGACTTTGAAAGAATTCATAACGATATGGAGAAAATTATAATTATTGGTACAAAAATAAATTCCTTCAAAGTAATTGCGTTTTATCGTAAAAAAATACTAAAAAAATCACAAAAGGCCTAAACTATTACTTAAATTATATGTCATTTTATTGTTTTTACAAAATTCAAGGTTAAGTCACGATTTTTTGCTATTTTAATTCCAAAACGGTTTTTATTTTAAAGACTGTCAAATTTTATTTAGAATCAGCATTTTAGTAATTAAAAGTTGAAAAAATCGTGATATTTTGATGAAAACCTAGTCTTAAATCTATTTTAAGTAGATGCTTTATTATATACAATAATAACATGATGGTGTACGAACACATAATGCACTTAAATTAAGTATGTAATGTGAAATAAAATACAAAAAGGCCGGTTTTTTACAAAAAAATAATAATATAATAGATAATTTACAAATAGTAAATTTTTATAGTCAAAGAGCTAAAGTACGTTTTTGTGCCTCAATTATAAAAATCTAAAAACTAATAAACTTTAGTGTAGGCGTTAAAACATACTTTTTCAAACAAATCGAAAATTTTAATATTAAATGACTATTTCTATAATTGCAACGTACAATCAAAAGTTTGCCTTATCTATAAATTACGATGGGATCGGTTGAACGAACGCGAGATTCTTATTTTCTATCTACGATTATTAAAATTTTATGCTAAAAACGTCAATCGAGAAAATTTTTCATTTAAACAGTTTATATCTAACAATATCGAGAGAATAAAATATTTAATCTATACATTGCAATTTTTATCGGTCAATAACTAAGCCCCCCATCTTCTTTCTTAGATTTACGCGAATATTTGACATTTTGAATAAAACTTTATTTTTATTTCTAGAGGTTTTATTTTGGTTTTTGGTTCGCGACGTTTTGGATTGCTTCACGATAAACAGTCTCTCCCGTGAGACCATGTTTGATGTAAAACATTCCAAACATCGCGAATTTAAACCTAAAATAAATCCGCAAAAAAACGAAAAGATAGTTTTATTTAAAACAACAGTATATGTTAGAAGTATAGTTAGATTGATCTCATGAACGTGTTTTAACTAAGCAGTTACAATTATCAAATAAAGAAGAATCGATAGTCATTTGAATTAAAATTTGCAATGTACAGAAACACAGAACCCACATATTAGCCACCAATATGAAGTCGGCTTTTATGCCAATGCTAGAATTGAGTACATTATTTAAGAAGTAACAAATTAAACATTTAGCGGTATTTGGAACCAATATGTGGATGAAGTGTCATGTTCATATAGTATAAGAGGCAGTACGTAGTGTTGCAGCTATCTGCTGTATAATATATTTTAAATTGAATAAATTCCCGTCTTCGTTGATTAAAATTATTAATTACTAACAATGTTTATAATCTTCTGGCACTAAACGAAGATACATCGAGTTCTTATTGTTAACGCCGTCACTCATACATACAAATATATATGTATAAAACAGTTCAGATTTACCTAAATTTTAGACAATATTTTGTTAATAAACGCAAAATAAATTTCATTAATTTTAAACAGAATTCCTTATAAATTAATTGTGACAAGCAGTCATAATCTCATAATAAATGTAACTAAATATCTTCAAGTCGATCCAATTGTTATGAGTGACAGCTTCAACTTACGATTTAGACAGCCGTGTCCGGTTTTTTCTCGGGGTGTTTTGTATCACCATTGCTGATATATTCCCCATGATCGTGCGATGGGTTTTCGGAACCTTTGATATCTTCGTGGGGGGGAAGGGGGGCTTCGGAATCGGCTCCATCGGGTATGTCAGTTCGATGCGAGCGTCCTGCCACATACCAATATGTTAAGCGATCAAGAATTGTTTGTATGTTAGTGAAGCTGTTGTTAATTGTCTTTGTGCAGTTCACACGTGTCAAGCCGAGGCTATAGAGGTGTTATGTGTTTTAAATTATTCTTTATTCTATCTTTATTACCCATCTATTTTATTATTTCCACTTTCCTTTTCCATTTTATATACTGTTATGTATTATTTCTTTAAATTTTAATTAACCAATTTTTTATATTTGCTAAATTTGGGTAAGTCTTTACATTACTCAACTAAAAACTTATATATGGTCTCTTTTATTTTTTCGTCTGGATTGTTCATACATGTCATCTTTATAAAACTAAATTTGATCAAGTTTTAATTAATCAATATTTGAATTTATCTCTGTATTTTGGAACTTAATTTAGAACAACATTTAAGAACATTATTTTTAAGTACGCTGGATTAATGTTTTTCAGAGTAAATGGCACCTTATGAGCCTCCAATACAGTCTACAGAAAACTATATTATATTAAAATAGATATTTTATGAAAATTTACCTCAAGAGGACTATACTTTTTAAGGATAATTGATTTTTCTCACTCTACTATAAATGTCTTAGGTTACTTTAGAACCATACTTATTAAGAGATATTTAAGTGTCTGCTAGTTAAAAATAAAGAGTAGATCATTCTGTTGTAGTTCCTATTGACGTTCTTATTAGTAAATATTTTTTTGTTATTAAAATAATTTTAATCAACAACCATCACCGAAGGAACATGTATTAAATTGAAAAAAAAAATGTTTTGATGACCCAACACCATAATATACCTTTGTAAAGTAGATTTTTACAGATACCTATCACAAAAAGTAAAATTTAAATTTCCTATAAAATGCAAATCTTAGTTTAAAAAGAAAAATTCATGCAATTCCATGGCAAATTGTCAAGAACATGCGTTAGAAAGAGATAGTTTAAAATAGTTTGAAAGATAAAAGAGACAGATACATGCTTTTATTAATTAAAGAGCAAAAACTTCATGCGTATAACATCTTTAATTATCAAATTCTTGATCGCTTCTAATATTGATACATGACATTTACAAATTTTCAATAAAAATAGCCTTAAAATTTAATATATATCATATAAAAATTGCAAAAAAAAACACTGCCAAAACACATAATTCTAAAAATTTTGCGTGATTAATAATTATTATAGGTAAAATATTTTTTATGTAATTTATAAAGCGAATTGTTTGTATATTTTTTAATAAAATTTTTCAATTACCTATCGACTCTCCCGCGAGCCTGTTGAAAATTTTCAAATTTAATTTTTTTTAAACATGCCTATATCTAAAGTAGTTCAAGCGAACGTAGAAAGCATGGTGTAACACCACGAATGCAGAGGATTTATAAAAAATATTGACTTTTTGTAACCAAAAATACATATGACGTCACAAAAATGTATGAATACAATATAACATGCATTACGTAAAATGAATTTATATAATCATGCATATAATTTGTCAATATTTTTAATTATAAAAACAGGACTAATAACAATTGGACAATAGCATTATATTTTTATACATTAACAAAAAATAAATAGAATTATTTTAAAGTAAAATATTTTTTTTAATTTCTTCAAAACATATGCTATCGTACAACTGTCTTATATCAAGTTAGTGTGAATGACGGGGAAACTCCAAAAAAAAATTAATTCATTCACGACATGAAATTTATCATTTCCGAATCGATTGGATCATTAAAAAACATAACAATAACAAAACGTAATGAAAAAAACAAGATAATAATTACACATTACAAATAAATTATCATTAAATTATTACAAAAATAAAATAAAATAACAAAAAATAAACAATCCAAGCGATTCAAAATTAAAAAAAAAAAGAAATAAAGTCACTTACCAGCAAAACACCATCTGTCGGTTGCTTTCGCAAACACTACGAGGAACACGGCAATGACCAGTATGAGTACTGCCACAACGATTCCAACTATTGCCCCCGTCTCCAATTCTACGCCTGTTTAGGTAAAATATATACAATCATTACTTTGTTTTCGTAAATGAAATGGTCGGGTTATTTTCATATTGTATTCAAATTCAATAATTTTTATTCAGCGTGAAATTATTACAATTTTTACAATCAAGAAAAAGTCTACCAAAAGTTTGGAAAGAATAACCTTCAGTCTTGAGAAGAACTGGCGAAAGAAACTCAACTCCACTAACATTATTTTTCATATATTTTTTTCTAAGAAATATATAAAAACTTTTTCATACAAATAGCCAGGAGGCGAAAACATCATTCCAAAGATGTTTAATAAAAATATAATCTAATTTAAATCTAATATGATATCTCAATACATTCTATGAACCATGCGTTACTTTTTTATTCCACATGTAAATTCTTTAAAAACAAAGCCATTTCTTAATCAATCAATGGAAAATATTCTATTTTTTACTAAAGTTATCAATTTCTCAAGATGCCATATAAATAATTTCTAAGTTCAATGTTATAATTAAAAATAAATAGAAATACACTTTCATTAATAAAATTTCCCATAGTAATTTGATATGAAGGCCCTACTTTAAAGAAAAAAAATCATCATATCCAACATTCGCTTCTAATATAAAACAAACACAGGCTCCTAGACTATGTCAGATAATTTCAAGCACTAAATAAACATACTGTTACAAACGAACTAAATACAATCAACATACATACATTATAAATACTATTTTCGAACAACAGTTATACATAAGAAAACGTATGCAGGCTCTTAGACTATAAGTATTCTTACCATATACATCGATCACCAAAAATGACGATTTTGCTTTGCGCGCTGTCGAATATATATACATATAGAACATGTTAATATTTTTTTTTACAAATGCAAATGGTTATTTTCATTTTCTAACAGCACTTTAATTCGTTTAGCACTTTTTGATATACAATTTAAGTATGTGTATAAGCAGTTATGCAGTAGCTAAATATTTTATCTAATCTATACATATAATAAAATTGTAACTAAGCCGAATCTGTACATTAAATATTTTTTGGAAAATCTTATTGAAATAGACTTTATTATCGATACAGAGACGTCGAATCTATAGTTTTTAGAGTTTTTGTATGTCTGGGAACGCATCACAGAAAAACCACTTACAATTACATATGTTTGTGCAAATTATGACAATAAAATACAAAAAATCATACGCTATTTCATTATGTTATTTAAAATCTTATTTTCTTTTAAATCGGTTAGCAAAAATTTGTAATCGATATTATAAATGGTACAGTGACTTTACATAATCTTCGCTACTATAGTAGAGAGGAAAGATTTGTATTTTTGTATAAACATAATAAATAAACGTAATGAATAAACTCAAAAGCTACTAGACCGATTTAGATGAAATTTGGTAACAAGATAGTTTGAGACCCTGGGAAGAACATAGGATATTTTTTTAATTCTGGAAATTATCTCCGAAGGGGGTCAAAATGGGGATGAAAGTTTGGATGGGGAATGAACCTAGGGACGAACCCGAGCGAAGCGAGGGTGAGTCGATAGATTGTAATATTTGCCTAACATTATAAAGGTTTCTCAATATGGAGATATATATTTTTTATAATTTATGGACCAGAATTTGAAATCTCAGTACAAGAAGTGGTATTTATTCAATACATAAGTAGTTCTCACAAAATAACTTACCGGCAGGTTCATCCATAGTGCTAAGTCGTAAGGCAAACTCTTCTCTCCCGAGGTCGTTGGTAACACGTAGGTAGTAGGTTCGGTCCACGTCTTCCTTCGCTACTCGAGTTAGCACTAATGTTATGTTGTAAAATCCACCGCCCTATAGAAAAATAAAAAGATTTTAATAAATAAATATTTTAATTTTGTGATCCAAGACAAAATAAAAAAAAACTTTATTTAATAAGTAATAGAAGCTTATGTGTCACTTCAGGTCACAGTCTACTGTCTTTCTGTTTACTGAATTTCATCCAAGTGCGTCTGCCGTTTCAACGTTAAACAGTAACAAACAAACAAACAAACAAACATACATACATACAAACTTTCGCAATAAGTAGTATTCGCGTCAATCATATTATTATATATTTGTAAATTATATAAGCATGTGTTACTCTATAATAAAAACAGCTAAAATTGAATAATATTCCATATTGAATTATAAATCTAATTAAAATTAAAAAATATTCTAAGGTACTGTGGTGCCATTTTTCAATATTTTGAATTCATTTTGTGGGTAGGCTGTTTGTAACAACTACATCTTTATATATATAATTCTTCTGTGAGTGTGTATGTCACTGAACTTCTCTCAAACGAATGGACCGATTTTGATGAAATTTTTTGTGTGTGTTCAAGGGGATCTGAGAATGGTTTAGATTCACAATTTGAATAATAATTTTCATCAAAAAAATTATTAAAAAAAGTTTGAAATTTTCAAATTAAAGACGTGTAGACAGGACAACGTCTGTCGGGTCCGCTAGTAATTAATAATACCTTTGAGACAACTAACACCTCAGTCTCTCAAATGACCATGATTGCTATAAAGCATTCGAAACGTCGGGAACCAAAAATCAAAATAAAAACCACGTTTATGATTCATTATCATAAATCATAACTAATAATAATCTATACATATTCTAACTAAGTCGAATCTGTACAATAAATATTTTTTGGAAAATCTTATTGAAATAGACATTATTATCGATACAGAGGCCGAATCTATAGTTTTTAGAATTTTTGTCTGTCTGTTACCGCATCACAGAAAACCCACTGGAGGGATTTTGATGAAATTCGGCATGGTGATAGCTTGTTATCCGAGTCAACATATAGGATACTTTTTACCGCGGAAAAATATCTCATTTCTGAGAAAAATACAAAAACTGCATTGTAAGAGTAAACTGATACGTAAACCCTAAGAATTTGGTTCTTGGTAATCTGAAGTCTGAACGCGGGCGGAGCCGCGGTAAATGCTAGTACATTATATATATATATATATATATATATATATAAATTACTAGCGGACCCGACAGACGTTGTCCTGTCTACACGTCTTTAATTTGAAAATTTCAAACTTTTTTTAATAATTTTTTTGATGAAAATTATTATTCAAATTGTGAATCTAAACCATTCCCAGATCCCCTTGAACACACACAAAAAATTTCATCAAAATCGGTCCAGTCGTTTGAGAGAAGTTCAGTGACATACACACTCACAGAAGAATTATATATATAAATATAAAGCAACTAACAAACTTTGTTTGTTATTTTGTTTAACAATGTTGCTTCTTCAAAGATTGTTTATAGTTTACAGCAAATTGATTTCAGAACATTCATCACTAATAATTGCCGACACTAAATACTTCACGTGAGAACCAACCACAGCGCGATTATTACTACCACTAACGCCATCTCTGTTCCAGTTTGTAAATCATACATAAAAAGCATATATGCATAAAAAATGCTTGTAGTATGCATGAAAAATGTCAAAATATGCAACACCATAATGTTTTATTGTTGTTTATTGTATCACACAACACCATCTAGTTCCATAGTAAGCTACGAAGCTTGTGTTATGGATACCAGATAGTCGAGACATGACACATATATAACTTTAAATACATATAATAAATACAAACATCCATGACTGGAGTACAAATGTTCGTGCTCATCACACAAATGAATACCCCAGCGGGACTCGAACCCGCGACCGCTGGCACAACAAGTAGGATCACTACAAACTATATGTCACCGTAAAATTATAAGTGCCGCTAGTTTGTAATCTCTAAAATCCTCGCGAGATTGTAAACTGTCGAATCGACAACTTACAAATTGGCTTCTAATCGTAAGTTATGATCAGACAGAGAATTTAATAAAATAACACGCACTCACATACACAAACGCACGTATACCACATTTCCACCGGTGTTAGGGACTCTGTCAAGCCTGAGGAGTCCGACTGGATGGGTACCACCCCCTTATCTATTTCTCCCGCCAAGCAACAATGATTACATTGTTGTGTTCCGGTTTGAAGGATAAGATAGCCAGCGCAATTACAGGCAAGAGGCATATCATCTTAGTCCTCACAGTGACAACGCACCTACGATTCTGCATTTTTGTAACATAAAACCTAAGTGCATGAACCGTAGGTGTTATGGGCGACATGTACCGCTTTCCATCAGGTGGTCTGTCTGCTCGTTTGTCACTGAGCATCATAAAATATATACATTCACACTCTTAGAGTACTAACACAACCCACACTGTTTTGTATTTAATTAATCTAATACCTTGCAATATTAGTATCAATTATTCCTTTTTTGCTTTACTTAAGATAATTTATTTTTTTGTTAACTTATTTAATTTAGCTTATATTTTTATTTATTAAAAGTTCGTGTATATTCTTTGTTTTTGAATGTATGTATATATTTTTTCTGTCATTTTGCTGGTGGAGGGTGTTAATAATTGTGACACAATTTCTTAACTTCTGCAGTTATTATCGTTTATAACTGTTTTTGCTATATATGTACTGAAATTTCAATAAATCTATAAATATAATAAAATTATAACTAAGCCAAATCTGTACATTAAATATTTTTTGGAAAGTCCTATTAAAATAAACATTATTATCGATACAGAGGCCGAATCCATAGTTTTTAGAATTTTTGTCTGTCTGTTACCGCATCACAGAAAAACTACTGGAGGGATTTTGATGAAATTTGGTATGATGATAGCTCGTTATCCGGGTCAACATATAGGATACTTTTTACTGCGAGAAAATATCTCATTTCTGAGAACAATACGAAAACTACAATGTAAGAGTATACTAATAAGTAAAACATAAGAATTTGGTTTTTGATCATCAGAACGCGGACGGAGCCGCGGGAAATGCTTGTCACGTATATAAAAGCACTTTAACACCGTTGTTAAAGAAGCTTATTCAAAAATAATGAAAATTTTTGTTTGTTTGTTTGTCGAAGTTCACTTCCCCGCTGCGACTCTACATACTTCACGTGAGAACCAAACGATAGCGCGATTCAGACTACCACTAACGCCATCTCTGTTCCGGATTGTAAATCACTCGTAACTAAATATAAACACACGAGTGTCATAGAACTAAACATGAAGCCACATAATAATGATTTAAAATAATATACGAATATTAATAGAATACTCTTTATCTATACTAATATTATAAAGAGGTAAAGTTTGTGAGTTTGTGATGTTGTAGGGGGTAATCTCTGGATCTATTGAACCGATTTAGATGAAATTTGGTAAGAAGATAGTTTGAGACCCTGGGAAGGACATAGGATACTTTTTATCCCGGAAATCATCCCTTAAGTTGGTAAAAATGGGGAAATTTTGTATTGGGAAGCAAACGTAAATAAATGTAAAAAAATAAAAATCGCTAAGAGATTTTATTATTAACAAAAAAAACTAATATTATGCTATAGATCTCTTTAAAGAGGAAGAGAACTAATGCTTAAACAACACTAAAGAATATACATAGTATTATAATTCCCAAAAGTTGTAAATTGACAACTAATGTCTATATCAATTCCATTATTCTTTAAAGGCAGTGAACAATCTGTATGACAAAATCGAAAATAGTAGTATAAACAGCAAATCACGCTACTATTTTAAACTTTAAAATTTTTTTCGAGGGCTACGTCTATATAATAAATATATAATAAAATTGTAAACGACCCTTATATAAGAAGGATTTCTACATTAATTTTCAATATAAAAAATAACAATGAAAATATCAATCAATATGTAAATATCATATGTTATTTCATGCATGTTTTTAGTTTTGTATTAGCGATATCGCTTTAAAGGTAAGGCAGTCTATTTTGTTATATATATTTATTGTGTTCATTCTGTAAGTAGATAATGGTATAATAAAGAGTATTTTAGTTTTACATATAAAGTTTGGTCGATAATTTAAAAATGACATTCCAATGGCAAAAAAATATCAAAAGAAAAAATATATCGAAATCAATGGGTGCAGGCGTGTGTGGGGACCGAAGAATTTCGTATGTATGTATGTTTGTTAGTCTTTCACGCTGAAACGACTGAACGTATTTAGATGAAAATTAATACACAGATAGACTATGAGCTGGAGTAAAACTTATGTTACGTATCTAAGGACAACCACAAACGAAGTTGCTAGTTATATAATCTCATAATTACCAAATGTTTAGGTTCCAGAGCCATAATGGACCCATCCTCGTTGCTTCTGGGCGGTACTAACACCAGGTCACCGACGGTCCACTCGGTGGACGGGCCGGGGTTGGCCCGCACTGTCACATTCAAACGGCCCTCTGCCCCGATTTTTAGTCCAAATATAGTTATTTGGCCAGATTCTAGACGTTTTGGTGGGTCTGAAATTAATAAGTTTAAATTTAAAATAACACATAATATACCAATTATAATTATTTGTTAGAATCGGGACTCGAACCCCCGAGCTACTGCACTGTAATTAGTGCAATACGAGTGTATGGATTTAAGATAAACAGTTAAACACATGATTTTTTTAAATATAGATAGTAAAATATGTAATTACTTTTAAACAAAAACGTCCATATATCGGCTTCTAAATCACATTTAAAATTTTAGGGGTATTTTTTTATTTATATATTATACCATATGTTTTTATTTATATATAATGTGGTATACATTTGAGATATAAGCTATTCATAGAAAAAATGGTTCCTATCATTTTCACATACATACAAACAAAAACATACATCTAATTTAAATACCTCTTTTTTGGAAGTCAGTCAAAATGTTTAAAGAAACTTCTCATACTATGGATATATGGAAAATTGTGGTATTTTGGTCCAATACTTACAATGCACATTCAACTGCCTAGCGGCCTCTTTCGGTCCATTCAGAGCCTCATGTTCCGACCGGCAGGTCAGCTTCTTCCCATTGTCTTCAGGAGACAAGTTCCTGGAGACATTCTGGCTGATGGTTTGCAAGTCGCTGCCAGGTTCTGAAGTGATGATGGGCTGGTGTACTCCAGCGAGGAGTTGGACCTCATCTGAATAATAAATAAATAATAAAATAATATGTTGGGACATTAACACACAGCGCCATCTAGTTCCATGGTAAGCTACGAGGCTTGTGTTATGTATACGAGATAGTTGATACACTACACATATATAACTTTAAATACATACATATTGTAAATATAAACATCCATGACTGGAGTACAAATATTCGTGTTCATCACACAAATGAATGCCCAACGGAACTCGAACCTGCGACCGCTGGCACAGCAAGTAGGATAACTACAAACTGAGCCAAACGAGTCGTCGAGAATAGTAGATTTGGTGGATATAATTTTAAAGTTTGGGTGTTACATTTAGATTAGCATTATAATTTTGCATTAATGATTGTAAGGAATATATTAGATTATTGACATTTAATATCATAAGATATTAAAATATTAATAAAAAAATATCTAGTACCTATGCATTTATTTTAATTATAATATCAAGTGGAGTATCATAATTAAAATCTTTAGTTACGCTAATGCGTTTAATCTACTAGCCATAAAACTGACTGAGAAAAGAAATTTATTTTGCTTTAGAATTTACTGAATCATTATTAGTACAACATTTTAACAAACAAAGACGTGTGTGTGTACTTATGTTCGCACGTAAGAAGAGTTATACTTCTTTGGTGTAACAGAACATAAATAGCTAAAGATTTCATCCCGTATGTCACAACTATCTGTATGTAAAAGGAATGCAGCTAACTTCATCATGTCGCTTTTTGGCTGTCGGTGTGCGCGCGCATCGTAAAAATTTTACCTTCATAATTTTTTCCAAACGTGCCGAAAGAAGTATAATTTCAATAATTTCGTACAGATCATATCTACAGGGATATAGCAAAAATTTAAAACTATTATTAACTATAAATTCACGTATGAAAAAAGAACGTATTTTTGGCTAAAAACTAGATTTTGTTCAAAAAACCTTGTTTCTCACTCACCCATGAACCACGTTATTTTCGCCGCCGGTCTCCCATTGGGCACTATACACTGCGCCATGAAAATATCTCCTTCTCTGAACGTGGCCTGAGGAGGCGAGTTTAGAATTGGATCTTGTGGAGCCTCTGGAAAACATAATATCAAATATTAATGTGTGTTTGTTTATATGAACTCTTCGTTATACATATCGTCGTCTCAGTGCTTATTTGTTCAAACGACCAATTCAGCGAAAGTGTGTTTAATAAAGAATTATTGACTTTTAAATGTCAATTCTATTGGTATAAAATACACATTTTACTTTTAAAAAGCCGAAGAGAGACGTATTTTATCTATATAATAGCGACTTACGTATGTTTTAATGTTTTTGAGCGGAACCCTAATTATTTTTATAAAATAAAAGTAGCCTAAGTTCTTATAACATCCGCTATCTGCCAGTGAAAGTCCCGTAAAAATCAATTCAGAGGTTTCGGATATTAGCCGGAGCAAACAGACAAACAGACAGAAAAGCCACAAACTAAATATTTAAAAATAGTTTTTCTTACAATTTCATATGCATAAATTAGTAAGAAGTTGTTATAATGACATTACAAACAGACACTTTTTTTTCTCTTCATAATATTAGTAGGTATACAAAAAAATATTTGCGAAAATATTGTTATAAAACATGATACACAAAAATGGTTATTAAAAACACGCGATCTAGAATAAACAATATTTACGATATAATTTAATAATAATCGTGACTTTCATAATATAAAAACTTCATTTTATACGTGTACTTTGCGTACTTTGTTTACGCGCTAAATTTAATTATTTTTATATTCCGCCCACGTTTCATAGATATAAATTACTAGCGACTCACCCTCCTTTACTCAGGTTCGTCTCTAGGTTGCTTTCCGATACAAAACAAGATAACAATATGAAGACTATCCTATGTCCTTTCCAGGGTCTCAAACTATCGTTTTACCAAATTTCATCTAAATCGGTTCAGTAGTTTCGAAGCCTATTCGGTACAACAATAAACAAACAAACTAAAAAAATAAATCTTTCCTCTTTATAATATTAGTATATATAAGATAAACTACTATATAAAAGCTACTAGCAGAACCCGCGGCTTTGCTCGCGCTAAGATTAAAACATATCTATAATGGTAGTTTCATACAAAACTTTCATCCCCTATTTTACGCCCTTATAGAATTAATTTCGAAATTGCTAAAATTCATATTTATTTAATTTTATTGAAGAACCTTAATACTAAGTTTCAAGTAATTCTGATCACAAATATTTTTTTGGATTGTGTTATAACGTATTTTCCTGAGGGAGTTAGATAATCTCCCGCGGTAAAAAGTAGCCTATGTCCCTCTCCAGCCCTCCAACTATCTCCACACAAAAAATCACGTCAATCCATCACTCCGTTTCGACGTGAAAGAAGGACAAACAAACAAACTTTCACATTTATAATATTAGTATGGATATCTTTATCTACAATCTACATATATTCATATATACAGCTAAAGAGTTCGTTTGTTTGTTTCTTTCTTTGTTTGAACGCGCTAATGCCTGGATGTACTGGTCCGATTAGAAAAAAACTTTTTGTATTTTATAGCCTATTCATTGAGGAATATGCTATCTAACAACACAATAAGACCTAGAAGTAATTATTAAAATTATAATTATTAAATATTTAATAAAAACTGCGACAAAACGCTAGTTTAATAAAAATTTTACGAGACCCACATTGGGCGCCAAAATTTTATATATATTTTCATCACTAATTGGGCGTTCGTTTGAGGGTTTATATAAATCCTTTTGGGATTAAACACTGCATATTATATACAAAATTGTATGTGGCTTGTTTGCATCATTAATTATTGCTTTGTGCAGACGAAAAGTTAATGATAGTAGGAAATTAAACTGAAAATAAAGTATTATTTTAACCATAACACTATGGGGAAATCTATTTAATCCAACGTGAGCTCAAAAAGGGGGAGAGGGGGTATATTAAAATCTCATTAAATCTCATTTAAACTGAGGGGAGGGGTGAGAGGGGGGGTGTCATGATAAAAAAATGTGATAATACGTTTTTGGTAAAAAGGAATTATGATATGTAAACGAAGTCTTGTAAGTTTGAATACACTGACATATTAGTCATAATATAAAACCTATTTTGATTATATTCTAGTTACTAATAGATTTCTCTACATTTTCACTTCTTAAATCCAAACTCGAATTGTATTTTAATATTAAAATAAAAATAATTTCTTTGAATTTATTACTTTTAATGACCAATATAAGCGTATGTAGTAAGTTCATCCACTAGCGTTTTCCTGCGGCTCCGCCCGTATAGTACATTAATCACCAACACATCATATACTAAAACCTTCTCCAAAACACGCTCCATCTTATGGTATGAGTATTATCTCGATCGGTTCAGTAGTTATCGCAGTATAACCGAACAAACAAATCGGCTCTCCATTTATTAGTATAGATAAAGTCATGATGTAGTTCATTATTTACATAACATTTTCTTCATTAATATTTGTTTTTCTTCTAATTCAGTTAGTTTCATATTACATATAAATAGAGATATACTCACTCGCAACAAGTAGCCTCATGGTTCCTGAAACTTCTTTAGCTCCAGACTGAGGAGGAAGCCAGCAGGAGATGTTCCCATTTAGTTCCTCTCTAACCCTCTTTATGTGGGCGCCACACTCTCCGTACTAGAAAAAACATATTGAAAAATTTACTTTTTAATAATGCTACTAAATTATGAAACTAACGACTCGTCCTTGCTTGCTAAGCTATAAAAATATAATTAAAAGTTTAAGTAAGTTTTAAAAAATAATGAACCTGCAGTCCCTGTCCGGCGTACACCACGTCTTCGTCTTGATTGCTTGGTATCAGTCTGTAGGATGTCGTACCCACTGTCATTCTGTAAATTAATAAATTATCCATTTACTACATATATAACTAGGTGACTTACTGTAATATACACTATCCCACGGGAACCATTGACATTCCGGGATAAAACGTATATTAAAAAAACCAAGGCGAACCGAACCGAATCAAACCGCAAATATGTTGCCTAAAAGTTAAACAAACTAACGCACAATTTCGCGTTTATTATATTAATAATTATGTTATAATAGTTAAGGTAATGTATAAATTTTAGACTTTTTACAAAAGTACCATCAAAAAAATAGTTTTTGCTTGTGTATTTTTTTTAATTAATCATGGCCCAAGACCCATTGTTTATGGGAATCACGCAGAATTATATCATAAGATATAACTTCAGCGATTGAAATTAAACTACAAACATACACATGTTTTTAATTTAGCATTTTAATTATAACCATATGTTATGGCAGAAAATCTCCATTTTATGAAAACTCGCCAAGCTAAGAGAACGCTGAAGTAAAGTGCGGCTACATGCACAAACAGAGAAGAAATAAAAATTATTGATTGGGCTAAATTCATTTTTGGTCTACTTATCATACCCATTGTAATTTTTTTTAAACAACATTTAGGGCTTACTCTTGCTCCGCTCAAAGAGTCCCTCTAGAAGAAACTTTTTCTGAATTAATTCAAACTTTATACTCTTTTTCGAAAGAACTCTTCAAGTATTAAGTCATGAGTAACGTAAACAATTGGCTATGCCAGTGAAAAATTGGCTGAATTTTGTTGCACATTATGGTTTGACATGAAATTGAATGATTACATATTTAACAAAATTAACTCTAAATTGGATATTGAACGGTCGTGGCAAATAAACTTAAGATAAAATACTGCAAGTGTCGTAGAAGACGATCCTGCTGGTTATCGCACCTCGGGTCTTCTGCACGACGTTGGTAAACAGCAGCATTCCCAAAGAGGGTTGATGTAAGGGAGGCGGCCGGTCGTAAAACTTTTTCTAAAACCGATCAGCAGTATGGTACCCACTGCGCTGACTACAAGTAATTTGGGAAATGGGCAGGAAGAAGAAGAAGACTCTTTCTCGAAAATCCTCCTTTCTATTGGTGAAAACCCAAGATTAGCCCAAACAACCAAAAACTCAACTTTAATTTATAATAAGTAGTGATCATCACGGTTCAAAATTGTTTCTTCACTTAAGCGGGACTTGAACCCCCTGACCTCCGAAGTAATATATTAAATGAAGAATAGTTAAGCAGTTTATCGAATCAATAGTAAAACAATTTCCATCAGCTACATACCGACACGCGTCAATGGCGTAGGGTACTTTGCAAAGTACGGTGAGGTCATCGCCCTCCCGACGGACAGCCTCTAAGGGAGTGATGTCAACATTTTGACCTGAAAAAAAAATATATTTGTGGTTATTATATTATTCATAATAATATGTATTTGCATGTGAATAAAATTTAAAAAAAAAACCTTAATAATTCACAAACAATGTCGTTTTGATGTGATCTTACTGGATGTTCAAGTTTAATCAAATTGTATGTATGCACCCTTTTAACATCCCACTGGGCACGAGCGAGATATAATATAATACGAGGGGGATCAAGCCATAGTCCAACGGGGTGACCAAGTGCGGATTGGCGGACTTCACATTTCTTTCGAAAACGTACAAGGTTCTCTCAGACATGCAAGTTTTCACACGATGTTTCCCGTCACCATAAAACAAGTGGTAATCATATGTTGGAAATGCTGCGAGACCCGGGATTTGGACCTCAAGCACGCGCCTCATTAGAAAGTTTGATTATTGAAACTTTAAAAATGATATAAGGGATAAACAGTCAGATAGAGACTAGAGTATACATAAAGAAAAAGAAAATTTCTTCATGTACTAGATTACTAAGAGTCATAGAACTATGTTAGTCTGTCTGTCCTAAATTGCTTACAGAATGCAAAAAGATTTTTTTCTAATCGGACTGGTACTTGAGATAAAATCTTCAAAAACAAACAAACAAACAAACAAACAAACAAACAAACAAACAAACAGCCAAACAAAGTTTTGTAGTACTTAGTAACTAGGGTAGGCCATTAAGTTAGGTAGATTTAAAAAAAAAACATTTAAAAAAATTACAAGTAGTATGAAAAAATTATAATTTTAGTGTAAATAATATGTATGTACTGTAACACATAATAGACCTTATCTTCTATTTAACAAACTACATTTAAACTAAAAAGCTCAAATAGCTTTAAAATAAAGTTTTACTCCATTTTAAGTTTAAAATCTTATCACCTTCTCTACATTAGCAGCGATAAATTGGAATTTCATTCGAACATCGTAAACGTATCTTCTAAACTGAAAATACCCTCAAAAGATCTATTTGAATGACTCGCCTCTATCCGGATTCAGATTGTTAACTAGGGTTGTCACTGTTATATATAATATGTGTAAATTTTAATATTTTTTATGGGATTTTGTTTTTAGCAAAAATGAAAGTAAATGGTCGGTTTTTCATTAACATGTGAAATGATTTTAAGAAAAAAATAGTGTTAAAAGCTGCTTATTATTGCATTTATTGTCGAAAATTCACAATAAATTACATTCGAACGTTCTCGAGTAATGTCATTTCAACCACAACAAAAACAAACTGAAATCTAAATGTAACATATTTCTGATTGAAATATAAAATAAAAGCAAAATATTTTTTATTTTACACCATTCCCATATAACAAAACACAAATATAGGCACAGTAGGCGGCTTTTTTGCTAGTGATCGATATCTTTCAAGCAATCATAAAGGGTAGAGGTAAGCTTAGAAGAAAGATAAAGATGAACTGTGTAATCGAACTTCTATTATAATAAATGCTAAAGTTTTTATTATACATTTTGGTGTGTATGTTTGTTACTCCTCCACGATGGACGGCTGGACGGATTTTGATGTAATACATAGATAGACCTGGTATACAACATTACTAGCGACTTACCCTCGCTTTACTCGGTATATATTTTTGAGCGGTACCGTAATTCTTTTTCTAAAATAGAAGTAGCCAAAATTACTCCTTATAGCATCAGCTATCTCCCAAAGAAAGTCCCGTCAAAATCAGTGCAGCCGTTCGGACGTTAGCCGGAACAAACAGACAGATAAACAGGCAAAAAAAATTAAAAATTGTGTTTTTCTTATAAGTACGTGCCGTATATATATATAATTTCATATGCATTTATTAAAAATCCGTTATTTTAACATTTAAAGAGACTTCAATTTTATTTATCCTTATAGATAAAATATCCAAAACACAAGACACAAAAAGGTGAACGAAGCGAGGTTAAGCCGCTAATATAAATCTAAATATAATATTTTCATATTAATTATCCTATTATTTTATTATGAAATTTCTACTTTGATAACTCTAAAACCCAAACCTTAATATTTCGTTTGAATAATTTTCGCCACGTTTATAATAAAGCATTTAATTTTAATATGAAATGAGTTTCTCTACAAAGCTTTCATTTAAACGTGTTTACTTTTAATAAACCTTATTATACAAAAGTGTCAACCCTAGTTATAGCAGATTACCGGCTTAAACCGCTTCGAACTAGATTCGTGCGGTCTTAACCGATCACATCTGAATGCGGTCTAGATTTCTTAGGCTATTAGTGATTTTAACTAAACTGGAGATAATTTTTGACATCTGGCAGTTATATTTGCGATAATAATCTTAAATAGATAACTAGATAATACTTTCTTAGAGTTACGCGGATATTTGACATTTTAAATAAAACTACTTTTCGGATTTTTTCGCGGATTTATTTGGATTTTTGGTTCTTGGCGTTTACCGTGTCGTTTTTCCAATATTTTTTAATTTTAAAGTTAAAGTTAAAAAATATTGTAAGGGAATTGGTGCTATTTTCATTTTAATTGTTAATTGTGGGTAGGCTGTCTGTAACAACTATACCTTCGAGACATGTAACACCTCAGTCTCTTCCGTGACCATGAATGCTGTAAAGCAAAAAAAAACGTCGGGAACCAAAAATCCAAATAAATCCGCAAAAAAATCCGAAAAGATAGTTTAATTAAAAAGATACCTAGATATAATTTTCGCCCGCGTCTTCGCCCGTGCGCTATATGAATATAATATAATCAATATACCTTAAAAATATAATAAAAGAAAATATTTTTAAAGATTATTTCCATACAAGCATACTATAAAGTACCTCTTTATAAAATTATGTTTGACAATAAGTATGAGTAAATATTAATAGTTTTGTAACTGCATCGGTTGTGTAGTGGCTAGCGTGTACGGCTGCACATCCTGAGGTTCTGGGTTCGAGTCCCGGGTCAGGCTAAGTTTAGTTATTGAGTCTTTCTACTTAGTAAGTCTCAGTAACAGCTCGGAGTTGGGAAGTTGGCGGTGTTTCACCCTCGTGTCGCGGAGAGCACGGGTCACGTCGGTCCTGCGTCTAAACTTTCACCAATCGTGTCTCGGGTCGTCGTACCGGAGTATGAGAGTGACAGGAATAGAGAGTGTATCTGTGTCTGCACGTACACTTGTGCACTATAATATCTCCTGCGCAGTTGGCTAGTCTCAATGAGATTGGCCGCCGTGGCCGGAATCGGTCGGGAGGACACCAATATTATTATTACTAAAAGTTTGTTAGATTTACAGAAATATTTAACATGTTAGCCGCGAAATAATTCGCAAAGATTTATTAAAAATACAAATTACTTTGTATGGAGTCATAGACACCTAATAATTTGTCGTACAAATAAGAGTTAAATTAAAAATTTCAAAAACCCCCGACCGTCATGGACCAATTTTCATCAAATATAGCTAAGAACACTCCGGATTTATTCATCTTACAAACAAAATCGGTTCATCCGTTCGGGAGCTACGATGCCACAGACAAAACACACACACACACCCAGACACGTCAAACTTATAACACCACGTCGTTTTTGCGTCAGGCGTTAAATCTACGTACGTGTATTGTTCTACTACGGTCTTCTATACATATAATAAAATATTTTTTGGAAAATCTTATTGTAATAAACATTATTATCGATACAGAGACCGATTCTATAGTTTTTACAATTTTTGTCTGTCTGTTACCGCATCACAGAAAAACCACTGGAGGGTTTTTGACGAAATTTGGTATGGTGATAGCTGGTTATCCGGGTCAACATATAGGATACTTTTTACCGCAGGAAAATATCTCATTTCTGAGAAAAACTGCAAATGTAAGAATGTACTAATATGTAAAACCTAAGAATATGGTTTTTGGTCATCTGAACGCGGGCGGAGGCGCGGGCAATGCTTTATAAATTAGTAGTAATCAAATACATAATCATACAATTTTTGTATTATTCATACATTCTTGTATAATTCTCAGTAGATAACGGGGGCTACTATTATAATTATGGACCAACTAAAGTTTCAAGACACGCCCGAGATTTTATTACAATAGCGCAGAGTGGTAACGAAGTTTGGGTCTTGAAGAAATAAGTCGGTATAAATGCAGATGAATATTTAATAAGATTTATTAAAATTAAATAAAAACTTTCAACAAGAGCTTCAGTTAAAGACTTTTTTGTGGTTATCTGGAATAGTTTTAAAGTAATTATCATCCAAATATGTACCTCGTTTTTTAAAATTGGTTTAAAGTAACGAGTATGCATAGTTAAATATTTCATCTCTAAGTTATTAAACTTAGACTATTTTAAGTATATATAAGTAGCGGCTCAGTCTCGCTTCGCTCGGGTTCGTCTCTAGGTACGTTTTAACTGTTAGTATGGAATAGATAGGCTATATATTAGTACATATATATGTACATAGGTATGTTGAGTTTTATATCCTTTACTTGAGAAACGATTGATCCCCATATAACTTTATCCCTCTTTTCACCCCCTTAAGGGATGATTTCCGGGATGAAAACTAACCTATGTCCTTACCAGGGTCTCAAACTATCTTCATACAAAATTTCATCTAAATCGGTTCAGCGGATTTTTAGTTTATGCATTACAAACAAACTCACAAACTTTGCCTCTTTATAATATTAGTGTAGATTAAATATATATTTTGTAATTTAAGGTTACTTGAGTAAAATATATATATATATATATATATACGTATGAAAATGAGATATATATATATTCTATACTTTAACAGAAGAAGTCAATCTCACTAATTTTTAATTTTATATTGAGGATATTGTAGAAAGTCATTTAACAAAGATATATATATATATATATATATATATATATATATATATATAAATTTCCCATATTTCAGCCATAAATTGCATTAAAAGCTTTGACAATCATGTGTACTATTTCACCAAACGATAATCGAACTCGCTACCTTAGCAAAGTAGGCAGTCCAAGTCGAAACAAACGTGTGGAGGAAAATGTAATATTCCAACTTGTATCGTATGTCTAGACTTAAGGAATTCGCTTAGAAGACAGTGTACAATCAAATATTGAATCCGACTTCTAAAGAAGAGTGGTTCAAATAAGTCGACACAATATTATGTTACTCTCTTTTGTTTTTGTCTTCTTATTTAAATGCAGTTTCTATTAAATAAATACTTTATAAATTATAAAACGACACGTTCGGCTCAGTTTGTTGTGACTCTACTCGCTGTGCCAGCGGTCGCGGGTTCGAGTCCCGCTAGGGCATACATTTGTGTGATGAGCACAAATGTTTGTACTCCAGTCATGGGTGTTTACTGTTTATATTTATAATATGATGTATGTATGTATATAATATATAGTCTATCTATTCCATACTAAGCATTAAAACGTATCCAGGGACGAACACAAAGGAAGCAAGGGTGAGTGGCTAGGAATATTATAAGTGTAAATAGCATTCAGAGGCCCACAGGAGTGAAGCGAGAGCTATTCGCTAGTATATGTAGTAACTGTGTCTTTCTACAGACATTGCAAGCGAATTAAAATGTAGGTTATCATTTAATTATAAATGTTGTAAGGTTTTTTCCTTTCATAACGAAATTATAAGAATTCTAATAAGTGTCGCGACAATTGATGAAAAAACACCGTGCGTATTACACACAATCTACTCGAGTTGGTTCTGACGTATGGGATGAATGGAGTCGCCATCGTATTTTTTTATTATTATTGTTATATTTTTTAACAGCATAATTTCATGATTAAAAAATATATCTTGATTTAATTATTTTAACTAAAATAAGTAGGAAAATATTTATATAATAATAATATCATTTAAAAATAAGTGTACATACATTATGTGTCTCCATTAGAAGAGCTATTAAAAATATTCAAAATAGGTTGATTCGCCATACAAAACTTCATCCCCATTTCCAACCCCTTAAGGGATGATTTCCGGGATAAAAAGTATCCTATGTCCTTTCCAAGGCCTGGAACTATCTTTTTACCAAATTTAATCTAAATCTGTACAGTAGATTCAGAAATTACCCCTTACAACGTCACGAACTCACAAACTTTACCTCTTTATAACATTAGTATAGATAAGGCTTTTCCATATTATTTTTACTACTTTCCCCTGACATAGAAATAATGCAAGATATTTCCAAATGTAAAAGGACATTATTTATTATACGACCAAAATAACGATGCCGAAATCATACGACTTTTGCAGACATACTTGTACATACATGTAAAAATAATATAA